TATATTTATATATATATATATATAAATAAATAAATAAATAAATAACACGGACCTGTCAATGTGATTTAACAAGCGTCTGACCCGTTCATTTGAGTCAGTCTTCACTCTGTCATTGTGAGTAGAGATCACAGTCTGCACCCTTCAGAGCAGAGTCACAATCAGCTTCATGATCACTAAAGAAAAGCTCTGAGAGTGCAGAATAGGAAGGCAGACTGCAATACATGCAAAGAACGTGTCAGCATGGCAAGAGCACTGACTCCTTCATGTTTAAAAGATGTTAAAAGGTTTAATAGATAATGTTGAAAGGTTCACTCTCGCAGCATTTAATTAAACATATGCTGAAAGGAATTTAAACTACAGTTAGTGCCATTTCAGATTCTGACACAACAACTTTCCTTTTTCAAAGATTATTTTTAGGGATTTTAATGACTTAATTAGACGTACAGGCGCTGCAGTAAGGACTCTGCCCTAGTATTGGGGCACCCGCTCTACTACATGAACAACACCTTCATTTTTACTGCAAATCTACACCAGCTCCAAATATTAGTTATCGGTCTCCTTAATTACTAATCATCTGTATCGTATCAGTTCTGAAGTAAACATATCGGTCGACCTCTGCCTCGTCTCCCAGCTCTGTTTGCATTCCAATGCAAACATTGACAGAGTGCTGTCACAATGTTCGAGGCCCTTGGGGCCCCAGTAGGAAGACATGTTAGGACAAACAACTTCAGGCATCAGAGTCCTGGTAAGGCCAGTGTTGAATAAATGAAAACAGTTGACATACATAACCCTGCGCTTCTAGTCTGACCAAAACAAAAACTAGCAGTCACATCAACTTCAGGGGAAATGAATATTGTGACGGTGTTACCTGCAGGTTGTTGAGCGGCTCCATCTTCATGACAGGTCCCACAGTGCTGAGGGGAAGGGCCGCTTCAATACTCTGGTTTGGGCCAAGAGGAGTGAGAATCTGAAGGGGACCAGCTGGAGCGAGACCAAAGCTTCAGAGGAACACAGAGGGGAAAGGGTTAATTGTGTAAATGTAGAGAAATCTCAGCACATTTCTTAGTAGGTGGTCTTACCTGTTTCTGTTAAACTGGATGGCAAAATCAGTCATCACACTCATGGCTTTATTATTGAGAGTCATCTCCATTTGGATGACCCCAGCACGGCGGACAAAAACGCCTGTTATCTCCAGACCCTTGGCCTTCATGGCCGGAAGCCAAATCTGAACAGAGACAAGATCGGAGAGTTTCTTCGGGATCCAACCACTGGTGTCACATCGTTCTTTGCTGTATGTCTCAAGACTCACTGTTTTAGGGGGGTTGTAGGCTCCCATAGGCAAACCAACTCCACCTCCGAGATCAAACAGGTCATCCAGACCGCCGCCAACGGGGGCATTGAAAGAGGCCGGCATCACAGCTGGAGCAGCACCGAAACCGGCCCCCATCTGTGGGTCGCAAAGCAACACGTTAACCCAACATATTCAATATCACCCTGTACAGAGCAATCAAAGTTTGACAAAATCTCAAACAAATGACTCACAGCAGGATTTCCTCCAAGGTCTCCGCCAAGCTGGATGGGAGGGGAACAGGCACAAAGAACACTCAGGTTATCTATTGATGCAAATATTGTGGACGACGGTGGAAGGGTGTGAGGCTGTGATTAGTGACAGCTATGGGATTAACACTTTTTACAAGCGACAGGAAGGAGAAGGAAACAACAGAACGGGAGAAATTCTCATTTTATATAACTGACCTTTCGATGCCCACACAAGTCAGGCAGAGTGGCTATTGAAATCCAATAGGTTTTGTTCAAATGCTACTCACTAAATGAGTCTATTGTGGTGATGAAAAGGTTGGGGGGGGAGAGACAGTGAACAAGACCGGTGGTGCAAAAATATATATTAATTCCACAGAGTGACAAAGGTTTACTACTTACAATATTTAACAAGAAACATCGGCCAGATTTACTAAAATCTCACCTACATGGAGTGGGAAACAAACAATGCAACAGGCACAGAGCACTGCTCGGGAGGACTACTCAGAGGTCACAGTGGTACGACAGGGGACAACAGGGGGGGGGGGGGGGCTAGACTGGTGCTGGCCTTTACTGGTCCAGCGTGGTCCCCTGGACCAACCTCAGTGGGGCTGTAATCTGGGGGCGATGGGGACTGATGTGGGAGCTGAGGTGACTGAGGAGTGTCCGTCCGCAGGGGAATAGGCGGCTGATTGAAACAACACAGAGCCCAGAGAATTAAAAAAAAAAAAAAAAAAAAAAAAGAGTTGGACTCAAGGATTTAACAGCACGCTTACTTTAGATGTCACAATAATAAAAGATGGTGAATGGTGATTGAAACCATCAGATTGATGCATGAGAAATGCAGTAAAACAGAAGTGATCAAATGAATCTTCTAAAATGGCCCGACATGGTTTATAAATGTTATGCCCGCTTCCCTCCGTGTAGTTACCGGCTCAGACTCATCCCCCATCTGCAGGTGCAGCGTTGAACAAAGAAAGGGAAACAAACAAGGGTCAAAAGAAAAAGCACCAAGAAGGTAGAAGAAAAGTACAAAGACATTACCGTCACCAGGTCCCATTGACATCAAGCCTTTTACTGAAAAGAACTAAGATATACCAGCCATCAACAACCTGACAGCTTCTCTCAAACAGAAGACCTACCAGGCTGTCCAGTCCTCCGCCAAGGAGGTCCATAGCGCCCATCTGCATGCCAGAGGAGGTGGGCGGTGGTGGTCCGGTGGTGGTAGGAGGTGTCAGGTCCAGATTAAGCAGATCTCCGAGGAGGTCTCCCTGGGATGGGATAACAGCAGGAGGCGCCTCAGTAGCTCCAGTAGCAGAACCTGTATCCGGGCTCTCAGCACTCTCGCCACTAGGAGAAATAAAACAAGAGGGAAAAATAGAACGAAACATTTTTACTTAAGTTTTATGTAATTCAATTGATTACCATTTACTAGCTAACTAGATATATGTGCGATGACTTGTATGTAAAGGCAGGAAGGAACACAGCTGCATGGCTTAACACTGCTAGAAAGTGTGTTACTCAGCAGATTTGAGGGAAAACATAATAGAGTCAAGAAGCTAGATCCACTTCAGTAAACAAACCCCTTTACCTGCAGTGTTTTTTATTAATATTTTTATTTTAAAAGTGCATGACTCACGATCCAGCACTGCCGGGGAGCCTCTTGTGCTGAACACCACGGCTGCCCTCAACAAAAGCACTGGGAGGCTTGTGGTAGACAGAGGCCAGAGTACCAATGTGGCAGATGAGCTCCTCCAGCAGCGTGGGCTCAATTAGATCCGTCTCCTCAGAGATCAGGGGCTTCTCCGCCAGAACCACCTCCTTGGCGGCCACGGGGTCTGTGGAGAGCAGACGCCAGTAGATGTAGCCGCGGTCCCTGAGGTCTGGGTTATCAGAGTCCTGCAGACAGACAGAGAGAGAGAGAGAGAGAGAGAGAGAGAGAGAGAGAGAGAGAGAGAAACGGGGATGAAAGAGTATTATTCATGGAGAATGTTTAATGAATACTTAATGTTAAACTCTACTTTGTCTTGGCCCCAATATGAGAGACTGAGCAGTGATTCAAAGTCATCAACCGACATTTATGTATTCACTAAACCATTTAAAACTGCAGATGATGAGGCTCTCAAATGAATAGAAATGTATTTTGTCATTCTTTTAAGTTATGAGGCCCGTTTTCATCTCCCCATTGCTGCTTTCTGCCAGTGAACTGCAGTTTGTACAGAGGTTTATTGCTGTAGATAAATCTATAAAACTGGTGTAATACAGTACACAAGGTGTGTAATGCTCTACATCTTTACTAACGGAAGCACAAGGCTCAGCTCCAGATTACAGTACTCCAGTGAATGATTCAGTAAAAGAGAACCTTTGGGAAAAGATACAAAAAGGAGAAGCCATGTCTGATGGGAACATATTGCACAAACTAGAGGAAGACATGGATAGCAGGATCAGAGTTGTAGACAGTTAGTGAGGATAAAGGCAGCAGAGAGAGTGTGTGTATGTTTTGTTGCTCACCTGTGTGGCTAGACTCAACACCTGCTGCACCAGCTCCTGGGTCTCGGTGGGCTTTTTCAGGAACAACTTGACGATTGCCGTCAGCAGCTGTAACTGCACCTGGAGGACACGGTGAACACATACAGTACGTTACAGCTGCTCACATACTACCATTAAAGCTAGTGTGTAGACAATTTAGCCTAAAACCGTAAATTAGTGTCGAGTTGCAGCTTAACGATGATCTTTTAACAATGAGCTGTACTGATCCACGACACATAAACAAATAAACTGTTTTTAACTCTCCGGGCTGAGGTTTCCCATGGATGGCGCACCCTGCTGAACAGTAACTATCCCAACTATTGGCTCAACCTGCTGTAACCAAACACCGCAAAAGGGATCATTTTATGCATGATGCATTTATTTCTACCCACGACATGACTCGCTATCAGAAAAGCCTCTCCAATGCAGTAGTGAAGGCTTGCTTCTCTACAAAACCAGTCAAGTAGCAGTTTACATCTATGTCTTTGCAAAATGTCATCCCCTCATCATTCTATCCTTTGGGATATTTGTGTTAAATTGTCATAATTAGCACATGAATTCTTAAGTTATGGCCAAAAATGTATTTTATACGATTGAGCCACATTTGGAGAAATTCCCTCAAGGCGTTCCTGAGGTATCGCGTTCATGAGAACATACATACATAGACCAAAAACACCAGCGACCATCGCCGGCATGGAGGCATGAAAAGTGTTCCCATTATTCCAGTAACTTCTTATTAAGCACGGTTAGTCTCAGTAAAACTAACTATATAACTCATTTAGGATTCTTCCATTTCTCTCACGGTACCACACATTGTAATATTATTCAAACATGACCTGTTCTCTGTACTAGTACTGCATGTGCGTGTGTGTGTACGGCATGTCACCTCCATTTCCAGCAGCTTAACAATGAATTTCTTTATTTCAGAAACTAGTGTCAGCACTGAATGCAAATTATTGGTGCCACTACCATTAAAACTTAACATTTTGTAAATCGCAAAGTGCCCAAATTCTCCTCAACCCACCTGAGTGCTCTCATCATGGAAACCCTCCAAAAAGCTCTCCAGCAACTCATCAGCGTTGTCGATGCGCTCGGCATACTCGCCAACAATCCAGATCATGGCGGCACGTGCCTCCGGCTCATCCAGGGAGTCCAGGTTTTCACACAGAGTGGCAATAACGCTCTCATACCTGGACACAGTCACGCAAAACAACATGTTATGAACTCAAATGTTGCAAATGTATCTGGCGACAACAACAAAAAACAATCACATGGAGCGAATTACTATCATTTACATAAAACTTCATTAATCTATTAAAAAACGGACATAAACAGCCACCACATGTCCCCAGCTTAGAGAACATGGCAGCATGTTTCACTTCCAGCTCACAAAGAACAACGTCAGCATTACTTTGGAGTTGTGTGTTCTGGCAGCCTGACAAACGTCAGTCCAGTGTTCACTGTCCTTTTACCTCTGGTCAACCAGCCAATGATTTCTAGAGTGGTTGACGAATTCATGTGGTTGAGGCGTTTCATTTCGATAATGCTTGTATTACAAGATCTGCCTCGGCAGAACGATTTAGTTGATGTCTAATTAATAGAAAAGGCAGACGTGTGAGTGGGGAGTGACTCAAACAGCTAATGGCTTGAGCCACACCGAGCTGGAAACGTTCCAAAGCTGCTCCCCTGGAGACTAACGACTCCACGGCGATGGTCTACCGCTGACTGTGTGGGCGAGGTTTCTGTCTGGCACATGAATCCACCCTGTGGGATCCACAGCAGAAGTCACGCTCCGGCACAAACTGCCTCACCGTCTTTGACCCGGTGCCTTTAAGGCTGAGTTCTCAGTGCCGCCATTTACAAACACTCTCTGAGGACAATTGTCTTCAAGACCAAGACAAAATAATCGGAGTGTCAGTGAAGTGGAACAGGAAGCCTGTCTGCGTGCATATAACAGTGTGTGTGAGTAAATACTGATGATCAGTGCCTCGTATATCTGTTTGAAGAGAAATAGCAAAGTGCGGACTCAACACTCTGCATTCCTCAACTGTTACGAGTGAATCTGGACAGTGAAGAGTTAACAAATAATGTGCAAATGACCACACTGATGCTTCAGAGGGAACCTACTTGTTGGGGTACTTGCGAAAGATGTCCTTGATAACCACAATGGCCTCCTGCACCACGTAGTTAACCTTGGTTTGGATGAGGTCCAGCAGTGTGCTGACACAGCGCTCGGCTGATTGCTGATTAGTGAAAAGAAAAAGAAAATATGTCATGATAGGCCTGCAAATAAAATAAAAACTGTATAAAATAATGTATAAACATTGTGTGCATATAACATGCATGAATAATAAACTAGTTTTAACTTAGTTTGACACATATATCAGCATATATTAGTCAACAAATCTAGTGAGTAATACACTTTCCAGCAGTGTTGAACTGTGCAGCTGTTCTTTGTTCCTTCCTGCCTTTCAATACAACTCATCACATCTACTTGCCCTCGATCTCCGGGGACGAGATGGAGTCATATCAGGAGTTTAATGACAAATTAGGAATTACAGTTTATGTGAAAATCACCAAGTTTGCAGTGAGTTTTACAACTGGTCATCAGGAACGAAAAAACAATCATGGAATTTTTGCTCTAAAATGAAAGCTTACAGGCTTAGAAATATCATACATTATTATACGATATATTTTTTAACGTATATTGCTAGAAGTGACTTTAAACATTTAAGTTGAGGCTCAAACACTGCCTTCAGTTCAGGCTTTAACAGTAAACAGTCATGTGAAGTATGTTCTATTGAAATTATGAGAGAAAAATATGATGTGTGCAAAGTGGAAACCATAATAAACCGTAGTATCATTTGTTTTATGAACACTATCATAATGACAGAGCTTCCTTGTATTCATTATAGAAACACAATAACTGTGCCTGACTGGTGGCCTTTTATAACTTACAGTGTTATGATCCGATTGAGTCCAAGGACCCGTAAATATAAACAATCATACACGACTAAAGCTTCAATATAGCTGACAAGGGTTTGACCGACAAAACATCTGGTGACAGTATGACGTCATCTGCACCCACCTCTACTTTGATGGCACAGCGGCCAATGGCTCGGACCGCTTTGCGTACAAAGTCCACGTCCACCTCAGTGGCGTACTCCTTCAGCTCAGCCAGGACCTGCAGCGAGACAGACGAGCATTAGTGTCACTCAGAGGATTTAGGGACCAATATAGTATAAGTATTACAGCTGTGTGCGCGTTACCTGGGCGATGTTGGCTTGAGATGCTAGACGAATCATGATGTCCAGCTTCTCCAGTTTGACATAGATTGGGTCGTTGTACTTTACAAAGAAGACCTTCATTTCGTGTTTCAGGATCTCCGGCCTAAAAAGAAGAAAAAAACATCTTGTTATTTGTGGCAATCTGTAATTAACCATACAATTAAGTAAAAAGGGAATCCCACTGAAGTGTAGCATGCTACACTAAATGCAACTTCTACCAGGCTTGATATTCCCAAATTATAAAGAATACTAAAGAGACCTCCCCGGGTTATCTCCCCACATTTACCGTCTCTGTACTATGAGATTGATGTTTCTGAGAGCCACATATTGCAGCTCAGGCTCAGCAGAGAGGAGAGTGACCAGTGGAGGGGCGAGCTTCTTAAGCAGGGTGCCATAGTAGTCCAAGTCTTTGGGCAGCATCTCCATGAACTTCATTAAAACTTTAACAGCCGACAACACCACTGCAGAGTTGGCGTGGGAGAGCCGTGGGGTCACACGCTCACAGATGCTAGCAGATGGTATTGGGGGGGGCGAGAGAGAGCGAAATATTACACAGGGTTTATTTTTTACGGAGAGCGACTCGATTCTCTGCTCTCTCTCTCTCACCTTTGGGACTCGCGGTCATCACGAGGTGTGTAATTGGCCAGGCAGTCAAGAATGAATATCTGTCCCCACTCTGTGCACTCATTTAAAGCAGTCAGCAGCTTGTTGATGGTCTGAGGGTTCAGGTCCAGTAGATTACTGTTGGGGTGAGACTCTGCTATCTCAGACAGCGCTGCCACTGCGTTCGCTACAACCTAAGGATGAAGACAAGTGTACAGATAAATGCGGACAGAAAAATAAAGCCCCCCCCCCCCCCCTGCTATACTAAGATATAAACACTAGTCTGGCAACATGTTGAACATTTGTATCCAGCAAAGAGCTTATCATTAAAAGGCAGAGCTGGGGCCTGCTGTGTCCCCACCCTCAACAGCCTGCTAGTAGGCGGCCTGAGGGAGCCGTACCATGGGGTTGGAGTCAGAGATGAGGTCTTTAAGGGTGTCCAGGAAGCCTTGGTCCTCCACCAACTGGGCGTTGATGTCATGGAGCTTCGCTACACACACAGCGGCTGTCTTCCTCACATACGGGTCTTCATCCTTCAGACATTTCCTCAGGGGCTCACAGAGGTACTCGGTGATCTTGTCCACACGGATGCAGCCCATTGTGCGAACAGCGAGGGCCCGGATTAGAGGGTTAGGGTCTTCACAGTCCTAGAGGGGTGGTTCAGAGAGGTCATTCATTTCTGTATCATACTACATCATCTAAAAGACATTTTAAAATGTATCTAACAGTTGTTTGCATTATCATGCTGTACAGAATTAAAATCATATATTGAGGTGTCACTTCTATAGAAGTATGGCTCCCCTTCTATAGAAGGGGAGCCAGAAAAATTATTCTTTAAAAAGGGACTTTGATAATCATCTCATTGAATTGAGATAATGGCAAGTAATTTAATACAGCTGAATGTATCCCAGTACAGCATGCATGAGTAGATTTCAATTAAACCTTGTAATTAAATTTGAGTATTTATCCTCCCAATCAAACAGGGCTAAGCAAACATTTCTAAACCCCTGCGTAGAACACGAGGACAGAAACCTGTTTCTAGCGATTTGGACAAATGGTTCTAATATTTATGATAAACAATTTACTAATAATATTAAGATGTTCTTTGTTAATACTTGAATTACTAAAATTATTTTTGCAACAATAAGTTGTGCAAAAACTCAAGGATTGCACAAACCTGTTGTATAGCATTGTACCAAGCAGGCTCTAATTGCATTAATTACAGCACTTAAATTATGAATAGATCATTGAATATAGTTTTTACATATTTAAGACGGATCGGGCTTTACCTTTACAAAGGTGTTAACAGCCATGATAGCCATGTCGGGCTGACTCTTGGCATAGTTCATCAGGTAGAGGTAGACCAGCTTTTTCAGTTCCAGGTTGTCTGTCTGCATGCAGTTCACAACATCTGGGAAGAGAGCACTGAAGGAGGGACAAGGTGTTCAGTGACTACTGATTCAAAATAGAGGGTGATTTGTTACAGAGCATTATTTCAGTGTGGGTATTTTGGACATCATTTTCCCTGGCTCACCTGACATCCTTGCCAACTGTCATGGATGCAATGACCTTCTTCACAGCCTCCTTCTTCTTCTCTTTCTTATCACTGTTTAGCTCCGCCTTGAGCTCAAAGATCTCCCCTGTGCACACAAGAGAAACAAAGTAAACCACACATCATTTACTCCATTTGTGATGGAGGCGCTGGAGGGGGGAAGGAGAGAAAAAAAAAAAAAAAAAAAAAAAAGAGAGTACTGCAGCATTGACCCTTTTTTCCCAGCAGTGTCCGATACTGGTGGGTGGTTTTGGTTGTCAGTGGCTTAGGTGCATCAATGCATTTCGGATCATTGTGTTACTGAGGTGTCTATCTGCATGAAGTAGACTATAAAACCTACAACATCAGCACACCGTCAATTTTGGGCTTAAATTTAAGTCTACCTACTTAGAGGTTCCCAGAAACCACAAATCACTCCCGATCTCCTTTAAGATGTTAACCACAGACCGCCCGCAGCAAAAAGCACATTCTGAAAGAAAACTGCTCTTATGTCTCAAGCAATCTAACAAACACAAGAAGTCTTTACGCTATCGCACATAAGCACCGGTTTGCATTTCCAGAGCCCTGTGAGTGGGCACATGTGCTCTGTTCTGGGTCATGAAAAGTGCCACACAATTACAACAGGAGGCACAGCCAGACAGTTAAATCTCTGTTAGCTAATGTCCAATATGTCTAATCTGATTTACAATAACCAGAGCGGTTCAGTTCTTGGCAATAACGTTGATACGAAGCAAGGTGATACCATTTTTTTTCCCCCATTGTCTAACTGGGTCAATTAGGTATCGGTAGTGCACACATATCAATACAACAACAAAAAGTAACTACACGGTAAATCTTTAATCTTGTGAATGAACAAATCAGCTATCAGACCTTTCTTGGTAGTGGTGAAGTACTTGGAGTCCGTCATCTTGGATCCAAATTGTCGATTCTCCTGCAAAACATAAGAGGGTGAGAGAGTCGACAGTGAATCTTTTTCTGAGTGGAAACTTGGAGCATCACAAGTGCAACAGGAAACCCTAGAAGTGCAAACACAGGGAAATAAGAGGACTTCCCTTCTTCTCCTGAACTAATGGCAGTGATCCATCTGAGAGAAGAAAACAATAGACACTTAAATCTCCTCTTAAACTGTGACACTTGTTGGTCAGCATGTATGTGGCCAGCAGCATGTAACTAACTATAAGTATTTCCACTCTTGGTGCAGCACCTCTCTGTGAAGGATCTTCTCCCATTTAAGCAACAATACTTCCGGTTATAAAATGTGAGCAATAGTGCTCAAGTTAAAAGGCAAGGCTTGTTTTGTTTATTTGCTGGGAACCAGCATGTATTGTTATAAATATAACGTTTTATCATGTTTATGATACTTCATCGCCACAATGCAAATATGTACGTAGTCCTGGTTGTTGCCTACACTGATTGAAACAGACGGCACTCAAATAAAAATGATTTAATTAATTCGACTGAGCTCATATTACACAATGTTGAATGTATGAAACTTGCAGGAACAGTGATGCTAGCAGAGAGAGATGTGAAGTTATTTGATACCGAGTCAAAGTCACTCGATGAACGGCAGAAGCGTATCTGTTATTAACGTTAACTTAACCAGTTTCATTCTTCATTGAGCTTCATGTAGCGTTAGCTGTCAACACCAGACAGGCTGTTAGCCACAAGCTAACCAGATACAATGCATTCAGCCCACTGACAGCGTAGCGAGCTAACAAGACGCTAGAACGCTAGTTAGCTGATTACGGTGACGTTACTTTAACGCAAGAGTTCACACTGCTGCCATGCCACACCGTCACTGAACTAACATTATACTATTGAGTAGTGTTCAGAGTAACAGCAGGAGTACTTCACACCAACGTCAGCTGACTTTACGTTACGACTGCTCACTTAGCCGGAAAGTAAGAGGAACGGTTCGCTAGCTCGCTACCATCAAACTAGCATGACGCTAACGTTAGCTTAGCAGGCTCGAGAGTGTACAATCCTGCTGGAAAAAAACTAAAATATGTGACGGTTAAGTTGGCTAAATTGGTGCAGATAGTTATGCAATTAACGATGCTATTCGATCAACTACTCACGCATAATTGATTCGCCCATTCCTGCATCTTTGCAGTAGTTAGATGAATGAAAGTGGTGTGAACCGCTAGCTCTCCGGTGCAGTGTGCCTGTCAGTGTCAGCTAGCGCCTTGGACACTTTTCTAGCTCGCACAGCTAAGACATGACCTTCTAAGTACGGGCTTAAGGAAGCCTTTGCCAGGATAGTTAAGCTCTTAATCTGTCGAACTGGTTTAAAACTTACCGAACGAATTAACGTGCCTTCTGGAGTTAAAATTAGATGAATTTGGAGAGAAAATCTCCACAAACACCTTACCGCGACAGGCGTAGCAGAGCTGTGATGGCCTTCGTCTCCTCCCCCTTGACTTACTTCCGTCTTTACACAAAATATCGTTTGCAAACGAGAGAAGCAGCGTCAGCTTCCAGTCAGAGGAGCGGTTCAACTCTCTCAACAATATATTCGTTCAGCACTTTACAGAAATTGTGGATATTTTTTGAAAGATTTGCTTTAATAAGAAGTTATAGGCTAATTAATGTATCCACTGACCTCTAAGAGTTAACTCTTAGAGGTCAGGTCAGGTTAACAACATAAATATTAGTTGACGAAACATTAAATGTAACTTGTACAATCACTTGTAACTTGTAATTTGAATACATCATGATAAAAGAGTTACTGAAAGAACAGAAGTAAATAAAGTGGTATCAGCCTCATCAGTTGCCAGTGTATTCTATGCATAGCTAATGCGGTGTGAATTATGTAATTAGGTGTTTCTAATATTTTTTCAATGCCTTGTATATCACCTACACTGTGTTACAATGGGAGGCGTTTCTTATGTTGTCAGATTAGAAACACAATACTCAACAGCACCACAAACTGCCTCTAAAATGACCATGAAGTTGAATCAACACCAACATTACACACTATAACTTTCAACAATATAGCATGTATTTTAGGACTGCATTAGTTTTAGCTGGGTTATGTTAGTAGGTCAAAAGCAAAACAAATACATTATCTTATGATTAAATGGGGAGATGATCATTTTAAGGGAAATGTCAGTATTTACGTTTAGCACATATTCTAAGGGCATTCGATTTTGTTACATTTTTTAACCGCAAAATATGCGCATCATCAGATATCAGTTAGCTGAAGAAATGGGATGATTACACACAATATATTACATGTTTTACAACAACAAAAATGTTGTTTTGAGTACAAAAGAAGTTAGAAAATCACATGATTTCCCCTAAATCCAATTCCAATCTGTTGGGCACAGTGCTGTGACCAAAGCTCTACATGAAAAAGTGATCAGAGATGTTTCATGAACTTCAGAGGAAGATATTTATTACAAGAACAACTTGACAGCCTTTTCAACTTTAAAAAAAAGTGAAATGTTGCAGTATTGCTATTTCATACATACAAATTCCACAATGTCAAGCAATCTGTACATTTAACTGAAGTTTTAGTGAAAGTAACATTAGCAAACAAGAAATTGTCAAATCGTGAACATTCAGATTTCGCTGATTAGGGATACAGAGAGTGAGAGAGAGATTCATGAAATTTGCAAAGTTGTGAAAGACAAAAGAGCAGATTATGAGGACAATCATTCTCTGTTGTGATTGATAACCGAATGCTTGAAGGAAGACACAGTTCACATAACTGGTCAGTTTTAAACACTAGTTGATCAAAATGCAAATGTCTTAAAATAAGCCAAACCCAATTAAAATTTAAAATAATTAGAATAAACATCTGTTATACAGGTGAAAGAGATAAAAAGCTCGTACAATACTGAAACATCATACATTATTTCTGACTCTGCATTAAATCATATTACTGTATCTGTATTGTAAAACAGTCCAATTATGTTCAGTTTGTCTGTTTCATAAAAGTTTTTAAACGGGCAACATTTCAAATGGATTATGTCTCTTTAAAGTATACTGTTGAGAAGAACATCTTTAAATGCCCGATGTTTGTTCATCAGTGGGCCCCATTAGATTTCCCTAAACACTTACAGCTCATTTAACAATATTGGAAGACAGATGTCACTTGAGCCCAATGAAACTTAATTTCATAAATAAATAAATTAGACCCACATCACTCCCCTCTTCACTCCAACTCTGTACATATTCTCATGTACACAAATATATGCACATTCTTTTGTTCTAGCCCATTTACTGTGTCAATGCCCTGCACAACGATGTCATCCACAAATGTTGCATTTCTCAAAACCACTGTAAATAACACATCAAAAACAAATGACCACCCACTTCTCTTAATTGACATCAAATTCAACTTTTCCACTTTCAAATATATTTTACAAAGTCCACACCTGTTACATGCCAAAAACAGAAGTACTGTAGCTGGGGGTCTGGCCTCTCAAAGTCTTCACAACTGTGCAAGAGCTTCACAAGAGGACGTTCCAGTTCCAGTATCTATTATTCATGCAATGTTGCACACATTCAGACACTCGAGGTCCTTATTCCTCCATCAAACTTTGCCTTAAAATATCGTTGTCATTGGCTCTAATAAGCACCACGGATCACGGTGTCCTTCTACTTTGAATATAACATGTCTTTCTTTAACCACTAGATGTCACCATATCGTGTGCTGTGCCTTTGAAATCCATCTGCTAAGTAGGTTATCTGGCTTCTTGTATTTCAAAACAACTAAGGGCAGAGGCAATAAATTATATATCTTAATCATGAATTGTACATCTACACTACGTATAATGTATGATTCAAATTGGCAATGTTCCTCACTTAATTCCACATTTACACTCAAACTCTCCAATTTCCATTATCATAAACCGTTAATGATGGCAATGTAGTGTTACTGAATAAATCGTAATAATGTCGAGCAAAAACATTCAAAAACTAACCTCCGAATACATTTTAAGGCAAAGGGAATCGTCAAGGCATTTCCAACACCAACATTGCATAGCTAAGGCAGCACAGAACTGATTACAGTGAATATGTACATTAAACTATATATTCAATGCCTTCTTTATATACAAAATACCCACGTATATTAGTGAGCACATCAAAACGTATTTACACAATCATTCTCCTCAGCCTTTGACTCTTGTACATGTGTAGCATTGTGTTCCAGAGTACAGTTCGGTCGGAGCAGGAGCTCCCAACGTTTCTGTTTCAGTGACAATGACACAAAGTAACACAACCTTCACTGCACCTCTTGTTTTTTACACTTAATCCACTTGAAATTAGAAATAAAGTTAAAATGTTTGACTGCATTAAACATAATCTTAAAAACCTGTAGCACATTAAGCATTTAAAAACCAACACCGACCTCAGTTGTTGTGAAAAGGTGGCGAACATTAATAACAGCAGACGACTGTACAGAGATCGGTAGTGCGTGTAGTGTTCTGAGGAATGATGGGGGTACCTTTGTCTATGTTACCTGTTAGTATATTGTGAATGTAAGCATACTGAGTCATATATGAAGACCGCTAATGTGGAGAGACTGAATACATCACAGTCATCGTACCAGTATTTTGACTATCAAGGCAAGCAGAGATACAGTGGCAAACCACAAGAGGGAGCCAATCCATGTGACGAAAGGTTTAGTGTTAACACTGTTTATAGAGCTGCAGCTTTAAATCTCTGGCACTTCACCATGCCCCTCAGCAGGGCCCATGGCAGCACATATGCTCTCTCTTTATCTCTCTGTATCAACCGTGAGCATTTCAGGAGTGTCTTTGCAAAAAAAAAAAAAAAAAACCTTAAGATTGGCAAAAACATCCCCATGCACACATTAAAATGACAGTAAAAGTAATATTAAAAACCATTCCTTTGGTAATAAATAATTTGGCTTGAGTGCAACATAAAAGCAATGTGAAGCCCCTGCAGTTTATCAGGGGAGAAGCTAAGTGAAAAAGAAGGTGTTGGACATGCAATGAAAACAGTCTATAGCCCAGTCTTTTTCTTTTTTACACAGTAGTCAGAATTCATGACAAGTCCCTATTTCATCGGTGCTACATCCAAGCTTCAGTGTCCAGGCTCCCTGACTGTCCAGGGTAGGAGCAGTCTTTGTTGCCCATCGCTGGGCAACGCGGTTGAGGATGGATCATATCTGCGAAGGCCTGGTGCAGGCTTTTGCACGTGGCTGGATGACCAGTAGAGCGCGAGCTCTGAGGGGACAGCGGTGGCGTGTGGCTTGGGGAAAATGTGTCGTGAGCCTGCAGATCTCTGTAGCTGACCGGGGTGGGGATACGTGAGGGGCTGTTTTCAGGCCTGTTGTCAGTGCGAGGCCTCAGTCTGCCTCTCAGTTTGTGCTGTGAGATAGGGGCTACGCTGTCTGCCTTCTTTTGCCCTGTCTTAGTCTGCAGCCCTTCTCCATTGTTGTCCCCATTGGCCACGGGTGAAGATGGTGGGGGAGATTCAGAGCGGGATTCACTCAGGCTGAAGCACATGGATGAGTTTTCACTGGAGGAATCCTGGAAGGAGCAGTCCTCGGAGGGGGGAAGGGGCACAGGTGATGGACATGCCTCTGGGGGCGGGAGGTCATCACTGCCGTCACCATTTTCTAGGTCGTAAGGTAAGTTTGGCTGGTGATTCCCCAGAGGAACATCTCCTTCAGGCCCTGTGCCCCAGCCAAGCTGACCCTGCTGACCTGTCAGCCCCCCTGTGGGAGGACGACCTCCATGGTCTCCATTCATATTCCTACAGTGGAAAGCAGGTTGTGAGGGGACCTGATTCATAAATCTGTCTGTGTCAACAAGACCGGGCAGGGAAGATGGAGGTTCCTTCTCCTCGATGGAGCTAGAGATGGCTGGGAGCTTCTTGAGACCCCCTCCACGCTCCCTCCAGTGCTCAGGCTCTCCTTGAACAAAGTTGTGTGAACTTCCAAAATTGTGTCCATAAAGTAAATTTAAGGTGTCCTCCGGTGGGAAGTGACGGGGAGTAGTTCTCTTGGATTCCCTGAGGTCAGGCAGAGTTCCAATCTTTGCCCCCACATTCAGGGAGGAGGTGGAGGAGTTAGAGGAGGAATAGGCAGAGTCAGTGACATTAGGATCAATGGGTGCTGACACTGAATGTACCCCAGCTCCCTGCAGCGTCACTCCTGGGGCTCTACAAGACACTCCTATGGCCTGCTGTGTATTGGCCAGAAACTCAGCCTCAAAGCTGCGATACAGGTCCTGCTCCTTCTGGGGGTCTAGGGTTGGCAGCATCTGGAAGCCGAGGTCCAGTCCTTCCTCTTCGGGCTGCTGGCGCTCAAGGCCAGACCAGCTCCTGTAGTGGCCTCGCCCAGCAGAGCGAGGGCCCTGTGACGTCCGAGGGGCGCGGGCAGCATGATGGTGAGAGTTGCGGGGAGTTGAGTGAGGTGAACGTCGACCTCCCGTGACTGGTGGCAGAAGTCTGCCTTTTCCTATGGAGGGTGAGCGAGGGGCAAGAGGTCTGGGAGTAGTTATAATCTTCTTGCTGGGGCTGCTGTTGTTGTTCTGGACCCCTTTAATAGGTGAGTTAGAGCAAGAGGACGACTGCCTCTTGGTGAACCCACCGCCTATCCTGGGAGAGGATGGGGGCAATTGTTTAACCCGAAGATCCTCTCGTCTGTCTGAAGGTGGGTGCTGAGGGTCTCTGTAGCAGGAAGTGGGTCCCGGGCTGGCATCACTGGGCCGAGTACGGGAAGTTAACTTACTCTGGCTGTGGGAGCGTGGAGCGTGGAGCCTCCTTTGGCCCTCGTTTCCAAGGGAGCGGCCCCTCTCTGTGCGGGAAGTCCGCGATCCATCGGCAGATCCTTGTGGTGGGTTCGGTTTGAGTATTGGAGCCAGAGCAGTACGTTCCCGAGATTGGCTGCGTGCACGGGGCAGTGAGGGACGCAGGGATGGGGTCTGATCTCCAGCTCCAGGCCTCTCAATCACATGCTTCCCCTCCTTGCGATTGACAAGCAGGATTACCTCATCACCAGAGCGTCGTGAGGCACCACCCAGAGAGAACCGTCCTCCTCCTCCTCCTCCCTTAGAGGAGGCTGTTGAGGAGTCACTGTCTCCAGACAGACGTCTCGTCACTGGTAACTTTGTCTCCTTATTCCTGTAGAGAAGAAACAGAGTAAAGTATATTCATAATAAAAGTACAAACATTTGTAGATTTTCTAACTCAACACATAGCACTGTCCTTTCTCAACCAGACACTCCACTGTCCCACACCATCAGGTTTAACTGTATAATCAGCTCAGAATCTGAATCTAGATCGATTTGATAAGCACAGATTAATAAAGTATGTATTGTAAATTGGACATTTAAATACCCAGTGGAGGGTGTGTTGTTTGTTTGACTAAATCAATAAATAATCCTATAAATGTAGATAAGAATAAAACTGTTGGTCTGTTTCTCAACTTATCTTAATAGAGCATATTGGCCTGTTTTACCCCAAGATTTACTGTATTTCTGTTGTAACTGTAAAGATTAAAAAAACTCTGTATTAAGCTGTTGCCTAGAGTCCATGCATTAAAAGACCTGAAGGTCAATTTTGGAATGACAGCATAGTTTTGTTATAATTTAGATCACGGGTTGTGCTTTTGATTAGTGTTTATTAACCCAGACTTCTAAAGTCATCCTCAAAAATTAGATTTGTATATATGCAGGCATGCTTACTTGCCTGCATGGAGCCCACCTGTTGACCTACTTCCCTAGTTAGCTGTGAACAGTTGTCTCGGGATAGTTGTCAGATTAGTCCTCATCAAGTCTGGCGCACTTGAAACACGATGCCCCACCCACGCAGGGTTAATAGGAATGAGCTGTTGCCTTGACGTCTGTTCTGAGCCATCGCTCAATACAGAAATGAGCCACACTTTGGCTAGAAGCCAAAGTAAACCACCATTCAGCTCCAAATTGTGTTAAACAATGGCGCCTTCACACTGACATATAGGGAAGGTATGTGACCAACCTTTAACCAGCTTCATAGTTTTTTGTCTTTATAACCCATAGAAAGAGCCACTTACAATAGCCTTAACATGCCTCTACTCTGTGATCCCACCAGAGTGGCCGCTACATGAAATGCATGTCAGAGAAAATGATGTGTGGTTGAATTTGTCACTGGCTTCATACTATTTTAGACCATCTGTTCACCGTGGCAAGAGCTCACAAAAAATCATGGCCATCTTTTGGCAGTCTAATTACTGGATGAAAGCTGAAGAGTGGGGAAAAGGAGAGCTGAGTAAATATGTTTGGTGTCCATGTTGTAGCTACTAGGAAGTGCTGTAGAATGGCTGCGTGAGACGGGTTTATCTGGGCAATGTCACCTGAGATTAGATAAATCTGCTCTGGCCTAATCTGTGGCTTCCTGGCATGTGTGTTTGTTGTGCATATTCCCAAATCTATGTGTGTGTGTGTGTGTGTGTGTGTCTTTCTGTCTGTCTGGTCATCTGTGTACTGAGCGTGACCTGCCGGGCCAATTGTGAGGGATTAATTTATAATCAAGGTAGCACACTTATCCGCACACTTGCGTAGACACAAACAATCACCTGAGAGGATTAAAGTGGCGGGGTTCTGAGCGGTCTCGTGGCGGCCGTGGGAGTAGAATGCGAGCTGCACTGGAGTCCAGCTCGGTAGGGCCGGATGGGTTCTGAGAGCGGCCGGGCCTGTCAGGAGGTTTGTACGGCGCGATGCCATCATTCCGCCAGTGTGGACCTGGGCTGGTGGAGCGGGAGGAGTGGGCGCTCGAGGACTTGCTGTGGCCTCCCTGACCTTGGCCACTGGCTTTAGCCTGGTGGTAGCGGTGGGCTGTGGAGACAGATTGATAACAAGCGTTAAGACTACCAACCAACAGTGTCAGACAGATTCCTGGTGATTGTACAGACAGTACAATCACCAGGAATACAAGAGGTCCATAATATATATCATAGTTAACCACATTAATGTCTTCAAGCTCTTAGATAGCAGCAGTAGTTATTGTGTGCTTCCCTGAGCCAGAGATAGATGGACCCTTACTTGTGATATTAGCCAACCAGAGAGATGCTGATGATCCCACCATATAGGGAGAACATTTATAGAACACAAAAGGCATATGTCTGTTATCACTTAATATCTCTATGATCTTCAACATGGCTGCTTGTGGTTAGAAATGTAGCACCAATTATGATTTCAGCTATGGTCAGCTGTCCAGGCCAGACGCTCGGCCCTTGACATCATCACTTCAGCAGCAGCTTGGACCCGCAGATAAGGAGGGATGGTCTCATCCAGCACGGTGTATGAGCACGTATCTCTGTGCTCTGTGCTGCTAACCAAAGTGAGTGTAAACACTGAATGGTTTTGGTTTATAAGAAAAAGAAAAAAAAAACGTATTTGTGTTGAGATGAGTTGCTGCACAGATGTGTTGTGGGATCAGGTAGCGAGTGACTTCACATTTTCCATTACAAACTTGCATCATCTTGCAGGCCTAACTTTCCTGGCTGGAAGTAATTTTGGTCAGGTTTCAGCATGAAACGATTTCACAATGTCAAATCAGTTGACAGCAAAAATCAGATTGTATGAAATGAGAGAATTTAGAATTGGAAGTATGTTTTTGTGTCCATCATGACAAACACTATTCCTCCACATTGCTGACCCTCACAGAGCCTGCTGCGACTCTGAACATAGCACATCCGATGTGAGTCATTTGTTTGTGATCTTAAATGCATTATGAATTATGCAACACAGATAGACAACAATTAAGTTGTTTTGAAAGGGGCTGACGGGCAACGAGAAGGGACCTTACCAAAAGCAGCACAGCGACACGGGTCATGCTTGTCCAAATAGTGTTCTAATGTGTCCCAGCCCCCTCCAACACGCACCATCACATGAGTACGAAGGACCTGAGGCAGGAAAAGAGAAGACAAGGCTTCAATAGATGAACGGAAAGTAACATACACATTCATGCACAAATAAAATGGCTGAACCTTTTGATAAACTGCACTAACACACACACACACACACACTGCACAAGTCAATAGATATGCAAATTCCACAAGTGGGGCAGCTCGCTGAAGGCTGACCGGTCTTCAATGTTACGTAACATCTAGATGCACCCCTGCCTGTGCCCCTGCCTCTCCCTCCCCCACCCCTCTTTCTCCCACATCACCCCCAGCTGCTGCCATTATGAGGGCTGTTCATTGCCATGCCAACTCACAATTAAGCAGAGTACGGTAGCATAAGAAAGAGCCAAAGTGCTGTGAAAGACACCCCCTTTTTCTGGCCTATCTCATGCCTCTCAGCTGGCTTGCCCGTGTTTTCAGAGGGGAACGGGGTGAATTAGCATGGTAACTCACCCCTGCTGTCCTCTCTGCTCCTCAGCGTAGACTTCAGTTGCCGTGGAGAGGAGGGAGGGGAGAGGAGAGGGGGGGGGGGGGGCCTGGATCGTCATAACAGAGGGGGGTTGGTTGGATATGTCACTTCCTACTCTCCTCTGCTCTTTGAAGCACACACATCCACAATATCAGACCGAAGAGCCTCAGACCCTCAAGGCAGAAGCTGCTGTCACTGAAGCAACACAATTTGCCGGATGGGAGAGCCCCAGCGGATGCGTCCCCCTGCCCTGGGTTGTGCACTAGGGTCTGCCAGCCACATGTTTTAAAGGTTGTACCCGCGTCTCAGAGGGCAGGAAGGCAAAGCCACAGTGGTAGATCTGCGTGGGCTTGGCACAGAGTTTTTTTCCACCAAATCACATGCGGCACAGCGCCTCATCTCCTGGTCCCTGGCCGTGGTCAGAGAGAGGCCTGACCCCACGTTCTCTCTAATACAATCCCCGCCAATCCAAGACAAGCCTTTTCATCGGCCTTGCTCCCCTGCGACACCAAATCCGTCAAAGCAGCTGATCTGCTTATCTCGATCAGATCTGCTTACTTTGAAATGTAACTTTTTCAATACAGCAGATACACTTTTGCTCTGTCTAAGCAGTTTACAGATCTGCTGTTATTTCTCTCTTATCACTTATTGTAGTTTTTGCACAACAGTATATTATGATAGACGTGTTGTTGTTGTTGTTGTGACATTACAGACATGGCTTCATATCTCTATTCAATGAATGTGTTCGTATTCACTGCGGAGGAGGAGTAGCTGTCATGATAGTAACAGCTACTGGGAATCCAAATAAAGAAATACATTTGAGTGGGATAATTGCATGACTATAGAGATAATGATCGGGGGTCTTAAAATGCTTTAAATCTTTTATTTCATTCTATATCACTTGTTTCCACAACTAACAAGCTCATTATGCATTTTGTAATTTGTACACAACTGTGCCGGAGTCTGTTGAGGCTAAATGGACGATTTGGGACCATGTTTCCACTTCAGATCTGTGGCATAGCCGCCTACTTTCCCAACCACTGAAGGGGTATCACAGTGTGCAGAGAGACCCGATACTTGTTTCTATGGCAACAGCGAACAGAGAGGCTTCTTGTCATCATTGCGTGGGCGTGTTGAACCAATTTCTTCTTATATTGCGCTGGTGAGCTCAAAAAATTAAGCTCATGGTTCATTTCAGCTGTTGTGCCCCTCGACTAAAGGCATCTCCTCCCTCTAGGAAGCGGCCTCCCTGGGGACAAAGGCGCCTTATTAAGTTCATGCGGCCGGTTCGCCCATTTGCTTTCCCCGCCTCATCCCCTCGTTCAGCCTGAGATCCTTGTCAGAGCTTTGGCAGCTGAATAGGGGTTTACTGGCTGTTAAACCGGCTGCCCAGCTTCCTCCCCTCAGAAGAATAAGGGAAGTGTGTTGGCCGCACTTGTAGCTGCTCGGGCATATGTGTGATCACTGTCATCCCTTAGTGAGGAATCAGGAGAGGGCGGAGACAGGGTGATGAGAGCTAATCTGACAAGTCTAAGGCTCTCAGACACACACACTCACACACACACACACTCACATCGCAAACAGGCACATGTAAACACACATCTATGCCGTTAAAATGGCTGTCCCAAAAGGCAAACATGAGCTTCTATTTGTCAAACATCTTAGGGACTGTTGTAAAATCATAAGAAGGGAGGAGAGGTTATGTATCGTTCATTTTGCTGAAGGGAGGGAGGTCTTTTATTTTTTTCCCATTACAAATTTATTCTTCAGCCTTCTCTCACAGGATTACTTTAGCAGCCTTTAATGATGGCTTTAGTGTGCCTAATCGCACATAATTGTGCATTTATGACATGAAATAAAAATGCAGACGAGAACAATCCTGTCTCTGTTTCAGGACTTCATTCATGACAGACGACCACTTTAGTGTGCTTTCATAACAGAAAGCAGAATACATGTTACATAGTCTTTAGAAAATAGAGAGATGTTTCTATGTTTGCCACGGCTAATGTGTGCGTTGGTTATTATTCCATTGATATATGTTGTTGTATTCTAAAATTCTTCACCGTAAACTTATTTGTGTTAAAACGATTCATCAGTAATATAGAAAGCCAAAAGAAAAGTCTTGCATTTTTTTTAAAGTGAAATATAAGTAATTCAGTACACACAACACATTTGAATAATGTAGAAAATACTATTTCCCAGATAGAGGTGCATGTGCCAAACATTACTCCACGTAGTGTATTTCACATCTCCCCGTCTGGACCAAGCGGTGCCGCTAACATTGACGTATTATTGACATTTAAGACCTTTAATAGGTCAGCGAGTCATTAACTCACATTAATCTGGCTGGGGTACATTTTCGGTAAGTGAAACCAAATCGATCCCTGGTACTTCCTGCCCAGTCCTGTGAGGCCTGAAGCAGGTTCAGTGGCGGCTCTTAAACTGAAACTGAGACAAACAGTCCAGCAGAAACAGGCTACAGCCAAGATAAGGGCCAACACAGGAAGTGACCTAACGCTCTAATTGTGTCTCAGTGGAGAAAAAAAAAGTACAGTCCTGGGAGTGGGCCACTTTGTAAACACTCATGTGAGAGACAGGAGTCACAATGCTGTTACATACACGGTTCTCTGGGCTTTGATGCAGCCAAGCAGCTGAGGGGTTTATCTGTTGCTGCATAACCCGGCTCTCCTTCAAACAACACATGATGCCATATGCCAACACCGTATGGTTCCATGCAATTACTGCAGGCCTCACAGTCTTCTGTGCAAAGTGCCAAAGAGGCTTCTATATATTCAGCTGGACATGTGCAGTAGTGTAAAAGGGATAATTCAGGTTCAGTACAACTCCTAAAATAAGATCGAAGTTGTAATAAACTAGAAACAAACTTCAAATACAAGTGACCTGACAGTGTACATGAACTTATGTTGTATTCTTAGATTTGGTATTATTTATACCTCCAGTAATGTTAAGTTGCTTAATCAAAGGCAGTTTTAGTTTCATGAAATTAACTAAAAGTTTTAAAGGCCGGAAGTGGGTTAATGAAAGCCGTTCGCGTTTTCGTTTGTGCTTGATATTCAACACATCCATGCATTTGATCAAACATCTTGAATTCCACTGACAATACAATGCACAATTATTTTCCCGTCTTCCTTAATCTATAAACATAAATAGTGAAAAAACAAAGACATGTCTGGTGGCTCATAGTCACAGATAATTGTGTTTGTGGAGATGAGGGCCTACCCTTATGAAGATCAATGCACTGGAGTCTCCCACTTTGTACTTCCCCTCCGACACCTTGACCATGGGAAACTGAGCCGGACAGGAACACCGGCCCAGAATCTCACGCACCTGAGGAGAACAAAACAAAAGCAGCTGAAACATCCGCAGCGGACAAACGTGACACACACAAACACACATGAGGGGAACCTGACGGTGATCCTTTCCTGCTCTTCAGGTCAGTGCCCGTACATGATGCCACGTTTAGTCACATATATCTGCACAGTGACCAAAGCGCCACTGGTTCTGAGCGCTTATGTGTCAACAACACAATGATTCTGGTTTATGGTGTGAGGAATGAGGAATGAGCAGTCTTGGCTTCCTGAGTGTATGAGGGCGTTGATTGTGGACTGTTTGTGCGTCATCGTCCTGCCAACTTTTTTCTCCAGCACCCACTGGGTGATAGGGTTCCCCGCCCCGCTCTCTCACCACATTAAAAGCCCTGCCTCATCTCATCCCTCCAGAACATTTTGGTGGTTTAGTTCACCGCAAAGTGTCACAAAAGCACCAAAAACCTCTCGACTGGATTACTGCAACAGCATCCTGTACGGCTCACCCACTAAAATCATCAATAAACTACAATACATCCAGAACTCTGCTGCCCGTCTGCTCTCCCACTCCCGCACCAGAGACCACATCACCCCAGTCCTTCAAAACCTCCACTGGCTCCCCATACAGCAAAGAATCCAGTTCAAGATTCTCCTCATCACTTACAAAGCCCTCCACAACCTCGCCCCTTCATAGCTTTCAGACCTCCTGCACCGTCACACTCCCAACCGCAACCTCAGATCTGCCGACACCAACCTCCTTACCCCCCCTACTCTGTCCAAGCATCGGACCTGGGGGGACAGGGCCTTCTCTGTTGCTGCCCCCTCCCTCTGGAACTCCCTGCCCCAACATCTCAGACATTCTCCGTCACTCGCCACCTTCAAAACTGCACTTAAAACTCACCTATTTAAATCTGCTTTTAACCTCTAAAGTCAGTCATGTGTGTTTTCTTTCTCTTCGTGTTTATTTTCTTACTGTTATGTTGTAGATTTTGTTTTTATTATAAATGCTTTTATTGTTTCTGTTTTTACCATGTAAAGTGTCTTTGAGTGCCTTTTAAAGCGCTATATAAATAAAATGTATTATTATTATTATTATTATTATTAAAATACATATGTGGAAAATGCTAATGATTGCTCTCCCTCTCTGCCACTCTGGGCTGTCACATGACATTGTTTCGGGTTGTGACATCATGAACCGAGGAGGGAAAGAGCTCAGAAACCAGACTGGTGGTGGTGGTGGTGATGTCAGCAGGCCTGTGCTGCCAGCTGCGTTTTCAATCGAAGGAGTCAAAGCCAGTGCCCTTGCTGTGGTTGGGGGTGCTTATTAGGCACAGACACGACTGCAGGGTGGGGCGAGATCCGCCTGTGTTGCACAGGCCTGGGCTCTCGCAGGATTGGACAAATTTGATGTTTTTCTTGGCGTCTTTGACAGACAAAGGCGTATGCGCACTTGTCGACCAGGAGGGAGAGAAAGAAAAGCAGCAGAGTGGACCGAGGGAAGCACAGGGAAAGAAGAGGAATAAGTGCTCAATGATTGTGCATGCAGGGGCGGCCATTACCAAGGGCAGGAGAGTATTTAATTGATATTTAAGTGATCAAATGACGTGTTAAGAGGAAAATGTCAGGTTGTGAGCTCCCACCCTTTGGCTGTTTACAGTAGCTTTCATGCTGTGTACAGGGCTGATGGGATGCAGTGTGTGTGTGTGTGTGTGCGTGTGTGTATGAGCACCTACATTATGGTGTATTCGGTAGATTAAGGAGGCACCTTGTTATTTTCCTCACACCGCACCCCTCATTCTTTCCTATGCTGATTAAAGAGGGTGGGATCAGCGCTAAGCCTCAGCACCTCACCTGCTTCTGTCTGTTCTCTCTCTCATCGGCTTTGTTGTCTTTCCGACTGTATCCTCAGCCCATGCACTCGCTGACCAGCACTATATTTGTCTTTGCTTCCTTTGTTTTGCTTACATCTCTACATCAGCTTGCTCCCTCTCTTCCTCTCCGCTCTGTCACTCCGTCTTTCATTCTTTCAGTAGGTGGACAAGCTCTGTTTGGAAAAACCCCGGACAGTGACTTAATGGAAAGATTGCTATGGCAACAGACACACACACACACACACACACACACACACACACACACACCCACACACACACACACACACACACATAGCCTTACCCTTCCCTTTTTAACTGTACTTTTTTTTTTCTTCATTCTAGCTATAGTAAAGCCTTTCTCTCGCTCCTAAAACCTCCCCAGAGCTGTTCAGCTGAGGTCATGCATTTTCCTCCAGAGGGAAGGTGGAGGACTCGCACACTGTGTCTCATACGGAACACTGAGCCGGATACACAGTCCAACCACGACGGCTTTTAATAATAACCTAATCAATAGCAGGCCTGGCATTTGAGATATTTACTCTGCGGAGCCTTAAGACATGAAATGTGTGCACTTCCCATGTCTTCACTGTGTCAACAATGGATTCAAACAGACACACTGAAACCAAAACACACAGAGACGCGCACAGACACACACACCGGAATGAGATAGAAGGGGAGGAGGGAGACAAGGTCACGCAGGAAACATGCGGAAGTGGAGCTGGAACACTGCGAAAAAACTGAAAGATGAATTATGGATGCAGGCTCGTCACATCAGGGACGCTCTCAGCGAGAGCTGCAGATGTTTGTGAAGGAAAGGAAAAGCGATTGAACAATCCACAGCACTCCCCTATTGTGAGAATCTGCTGTATCTCTCTTGAGATAGGAATGCAGAGATGTTTCGAGCGGAGAGAGAAACACCGTCATTGTGAAGAAACCGCTGCGACCTTGCCTTTGGATTGAGCAGCTGTGTTTGCCTCAAAGCAGTTTAATGTAGAGAACATACACAGTGCATATCGCTTTAAATATCCCAGCGCTCAGATCATGCACTATCTGCTCAGTGTGAGTCAATAATCTCTTCATTCCTTTCCTTCCTGACCTGCCAACATCTGAAGGGCCATCCGAGGCTGAGGGCTGAGCAAACCCTGGGGATGAAGAGAGGAAATGGGAGGGGGAGATCAAGATGTTTTGGTTGTATTCCTCATTTTCTTTACTGATTTGAGATGTGGCCTGACATGCTACACTAAGACTGTATATACTGTAGCGTGACATAAAATGGTAGAACAAAGGAATGCACAAGGTTGCCAATACTGTCCTACTCTACATTTACTGAGGTTATTTAGTGAATACACATAATATAGTTCTGGTTTTGTTTTCAGACCAGGGTCCACATTTTATCAGTGTACTGATAAGAAGCCGCACAGCCGTTTGAATACAGTCTGTTCTCCTCGTGAGTCAACACACAACGTACAGCCACGCGCTTTGCTCCAGCGCAGTCATCAAACATAGGTGTGTTGGCCTGCTGCAACTGGTTCCTTTTATGATTGCTATGCAAAGGGGATAATTGCAGCCAAAACGTCAACAATAAAAAGTGAACATTACAACTCACTCCACGGGAATTTACACAAGGGTGTTTCCAGGATTTGACTTCCTGAGAGACGACTGTAGATTGGAGGGTTTACGGCAGAATACGTTGTCTTTTCAAAAGGTGGAGGAAATTGGGAGGATTAAAAGACGGCTAACCGTGTGGAACACACAAGATTCTTCTCTTAGCTTATCCTGTTACCTTGAGGATCTCCTGACATGACTGGAAACTTCCCAAGATAACACAACCTCACCTTTAGATAAGCACAGAGAGACAAGAAAACACTGCGGGCGCCTACTTGGTAGGAGGGAGAGGTTTTGAACCTGAGGGGTTATTGCTTCACCACCCACTGTAAGCATTCCTAAAGCCTGTGAGCACAAAACTGAAAAACAGCTACATGTCAGACTCTATCCTCCTATTTAACCACCGTCCTGCATAAACGACTCCTCCGTGGACGACCACGCAACATCTCATAAACATGGAACAACCTCCATTGCAAAAAATGATCTCTTTAAACAACCTGGGGGGTGCAGGGAGCTGATAAAGGACTGAATTAATGCTGAGTATGTTGGACCTGTAGTCTGAGGGAACAATCTGGAGAGCTCATGAACACACATGTGTTAGCATGCTGGTTCAACAGGCCACACCAGCAGAGATTAGATGGAGAAACAGAGTTGGTTAAACGCCTCAGGACCAGGTGTGTCAGTTAATGCCAGTAACAATTTTCACAGCGAGAATGAGCCGAATAATATACCAAAGAAGAACGAACTACGGCAATAGTTCAACATTCTTTTTTTCCTGGCTGAGAGTTAGATGAGAAGATTGATCCCACTTTTGTATCCGTCCATTAAATGTAAGGATAGTCAGCTTAGCTTAGCACAAAGACAGGAAACAGAGGAGACAGCCAGTCTGGCTCTGTCCGAAGGTTAAAATAAATCCACCTGCCAGAAAATTGACAGCATATTTACCATACAGACACCAGTAAGCAAATACGCATATGATACTATTCCATCTGTTACATAAATAACTACACCATGCCTTTATGTTACGACCTGTGATGTGTGTTTGATCAGGGAGAAATCTAATCATACTGGCTCCAGGGCAGGCCTCATCCACCGCTTCAAGGAAAACATTCATGAAAATCGATGCCTGTCTGCTGGCCACATGACAAACTGCCCATTGGGATGCTGGGAGAATATATAAATCAAATGGACATCAAGTGCTGCAAGGCGAATAACTCTATCTGCTTCAGTCAGACAGCGGCGTAATCACCCAGCGCAGGAAGTTAAAGCATCTATGTCATTTGTCGGTTTGTTTTGATGAGGAGGCTCAGCACCTCTCCTCGAGACAGCTGAGTTTAAAGGGATGGACGTCCTTCGCTTTTCTCATCCTGACAGTCTCCACCTGAGACCAGCATGACGCGGCTGCAGGCAATGAACAGACTACTCACACAGACAGAAGCCTATTCGGATGAACGGCCAATTAAATGATAATCATGCAAACAATCCAGGGACAGCATCAAGCGCAAGGCAATAAAGACAAACAGCGGGCAGAGTGCAGAGTCAGCTGTTTCCACACGCACACTGCTGCATGGAAAATAGTGAGGAGGAGTGGAGTCTGGTCTGTACTGTCACTGTGCAAAGTCTAGAGGTTAAACAAAAACAACCTTTCAAATACTAAACCCCTAAAAACATGAGTGCATGTGACACAGGAGGGAGAAACACTGAAGGATGCCACGCTCTCTCAGCAAAGCGTACGAGTGTGACCCAATGCAAAGCATGACCTACTTTTCTCTTTCACTCTAGCTCCCCTCTGTACTGTAGCTCTCCCTCCCAGAGCAACATCCATTCCAGTCAGGTTTAAAAGAGTGTACACTGAAGTCACTCTAGGCACACTATCTGTTGTCTACTCCCCTTTTTTTATTCCCTGAATGCATGAATTGGACCATAAGGTTAATGGAGCAGACTGTCCATATCGGCATAATACACACACGTTCTCTCTTTATTACTCCCCCCCCCTTTGCTCTGCTGGTGTCTCCATCCAAAGTCTTTGATTGAGACGCCAGCCTTTGATTGCCTCGCTGTCAACAGTGGCAGTCTATTCACATCACCCCATCAATGCCACCAACAAGACATACTGTTGTGCTCTTTGCTTTATCATCTGTCGGAGACAGGGGTGGGGGATGGGAATCGCACATATATGAACTAAACAAGGGTTGAATGTTGAAGCCTGGAGTGAAATAAGACATGAACCAGTTTAAATGACTGAGCACGAAGAAGGAAAGATGTGCATGAAGGAAGGCTGTGAAGGGCTGTTGTTTATACACTCAAATATTGTGTTGTATAGATGGCTATGCCTGCAGTGAGCTTGTGAACAATTAGAGGGTGCATTAAGGGGTCAGTAAATGTTATTTAAATTATTACATGTATGTCACTTCACATAGTTCTGTATGTGCCCAGGGCCTAATGGCAAGACCTAGAAAACATAGAAAAAGGTGTTTCTTTACATGAGGCTGCTTGCGGCGTATATATAGAAAAATACAGTTCCAATCGAAGTCGCTGTCATAATCCCTATGTAGTGGTGATATGATAGAAAATCCCAGGATACACTTCATGTGTACATATAGCGAAGTGAACCAGCTGCTGTCTGTACCTACTACTGAGAAAATATAACATCTCCAGGAGTGGGAAAAAGAAACATTTGTCACTGACTCAAACTTTGATGAAGGAAATGAGACACCGGTCACTTCCTCAACTTCAGAGTGGAAAACCGTCCCACAGTGATATGAGTAATAACACGCGTAGTGGCGGATGAGTGGGAGAGAAACACAGTGGTGGTGAGTGTTTACATGAGTGTTGTTTCGATAGACGACAGCTTCCTTAACATGGTCGTTGACACATCAAATGTTGGCATTAAAGCTAGGGTGGGTCATTTTCCTCATCTTCTTTGTTTGTTGAAGTTCTCGTTACATCCCGAAAGCCATCCATGAATGAAATGCTTCAAAGATAACCTGCGGCTGTCACGGGAACGTAATAAGCCCGTCCAGTTATTTAATTTGTGTCTACCTACCTGTCTACCTGCGCGCACTCTGCCCGCGCACTCATTGCGCGTCGTCTTCCATAAACTGCTGACTTAACAGCTGTGAGTACTAATGTTCGTTGTTTATGTTCATAATAATACTTTTGGTGGAGGCCTAATGAGACGGGCTGTCAGTGTTGCCCGCTTCGGGACTTTCTTGCTAGATTCTGCAACTGTTGGCGCTGGTTCTGCGAGCTACTTTCATCGGAAAAGAGTTTTTAGGTTGGATCATTTTTTTAATCTAGTGTACGTTTCTAAGCATTAACGACCCTGTAATGTGTAATGAGGACAAAATTATAACTTAGAATATATGGTGAGACATTTTAGTGTGATTATTGAATAGGCAAATGTCCTTCAAAGGGACTACTTAAAGTAATCCTGCTGTCTGTAAACCGACTGTTACTCTACACGCGTTAGAATAATGACCTGTAATCCTATTATCGCTACACTTTTATTGTCTTAGTTGAACTCAACAGGATTAGTTTGATCGTCCAATAACCACACAACGTGTAGAAGAATACACAGGAGCCAAATGTACAAACCTCATTGAGATGCAGTCAGCTGCACAAGAACGGCAAACGTTTTAAAGATAGTACATGTCCCTTAAATGACTGTGTTCATGCATACGCTGCACAGCTCACATGTTCTGCTTGAGGTTTAATTGGATCGGGGCATTGTGGAGGCGCGACACAGCTAATTACAACGTCCTGAGCTCACTTACACACGTTCAGAGACAACACGATGACTAAATGTAATCTGCACATTTGTAGCATTTCTGTTTGCACGAGAATCTGAGGCTGCTGTGCACGTCTCTGTGGGTGCTAATAGTCTGGTAATTAATTGATGACATTTCATCAGTAACGTTATTGGATATGAATAGAGCAGCAGTTCATGAATGAATTGTGTATTTAAAAAAATAATAATCTGATTTAAAATTTTGTTATGAATAGTGGCTGAATAAAAACAATTTCCACAGAGAAAAATCAGTAAACGATAATGAAAACAAAAGAGCCAAACCATCCTGTGAAACACAACCCATCTTGGACGATGCAGGAAAGTCTTGACTTGACTGAGGGCAGCGGACACACACAGTCTGGTGTCACAGCTGTGGACCGATGAAACTAAGCCCTTTAACTTTCTTCCTCTCCCTCCCTGTCAGACACTAATGTCAGCCAGAGATGAGGTTTCCAGTAATACCGAGACACTAATCTCCTGCAAGACACAAATACAAAGAAAAGTATTCTGCAGGATAAACTTGTGACTGGGAGGCACAATGCCCTGCAGCAAGAACTGAGCGGCCGGCAGACAAATGACTGTATTTAAAGAAAAATGTGGATTTAATGTTGATTGTTTTAAAATAAAATAAATACAGTCCAGAAAATGAAGAGGTATCTATTGGATATATGTCTGGGCCTCAAAAAGAGAAATGCTGAAGCCGTTAGACAAGATGTGTTGGTACTGTGGTGCTCTGCTACTATTTTCATATTGCAGCCTCTCATCTTTGAACCCCTGTGGTTTCTCGTTTGAAGATCCTCATGTTGCTGATGTGGGCTGTTCTGCACAGTGTACATGCATGCAATTTTCTAAGGTTGACAGGGAGGTGGAAATTTCATTGACTGGGACCACCACTTCTCAAATCAGTCAAGTCAAATGTGTCTGTTGGGCACCGTCGGGCTGCTGATGGATGTGTCAGTGCGGATGTTAGACGGGGGAAAGACAGGCATACGCTCTGCAGCTTTCACTGCGATCTTTTTGTCCTGAACATGCAGTCGGCTTGTTTAATCCTCATACGCCGAGTGAGAGTTTGCGGACTCAGACAGTCTGGACGTCCTCCTCCACATGCTCTCCTATTTCTGTCCGTGGAGGTCACACTGGAGCCGCTCTGCTCTGCTGCCTGACCAGCATGAGTGTGACTGTCTCCCCCCTCCTCCCTCACATCTTTGGTGCCAAAGACGGACATTGTTCTCTTCATCGACATGAAACTGTCAATGCCCCCCCCACCTCTCACAAACCATGCAGATGCTCCCGCTGGTCCATCTGTCTGCTCATTAGCTTTGCCCCTAACAAGACCTTTGCCTCTCTAATGTGCTCGTGTCAGGCAGGCCCTCACAAAGGTCAGACAGTTCAACCGGGACAAGTGACGAGAGTCGATGGTTTGGACTCCACAGGACAGGAAATGTATTAGAACCAAACTGTAGTGTTGGTAAAGAAGCAGCAGAAGCAGTGATTCAGAATGATCCACACCTGCATGATATTAATCATTCCTCACACACTCACACTCACACTACTGGGAATGTATGAGGCGCTTGCATGCTTCATAGCACTGACGTGATATTTTCAGAGGTGGTGCTTGACTTTTGACACCTTTCTGCGTTTCACTGTGGGAGAGAATGGTCTTCTATCGGCTGCTTCTTGCTGTTTAGCACCACACAACTAAACACTGGATGATATTCACTTGTGATCAAAGCCTGCGGTACATCTATACGCCACGTGTTGTGAGCAGTGAGGATTCAATTATGTGAAGTTTGAGCTGCAAGATCACGATGATGACTAGCATGAATCATAATGCAGTTGTGATTAATTTTATGGAGTCAACTGCTTATTCAGGATAATTAATAATGAGATCACTAATAGACAGAGGATTGCGTTTTTTTTTATCTTTTCAACTCACCAATTCATCCAGATTTCGCATGTCACATAAAACTCTCTTCTGCGGCCAGATGAACGGCTCTGGATCAGGCTCCTCTTCTTCATCCTCCACGCTGTGACTGCTCTCCTTCCGACTGAAGCACCTGCTGGGCGGGCTCTGCTCAGCTGGCTCCCCAGCATCGACCCGCAGGCTCTCCTGGTCCCGGATCTCCTCCTCGATCTCCTCCTCCAGCTGGATCAGCATGGGGGCCAACATGCCGAACTTGGACCCGCGTCGCGCGACCTCAAGGAGACACAGAACAAAATTCTTCTCGTTGCACCTCTCCACCAAGTCGTTGGTCTCGAACATGAGGACGTCCTTGATCCAGAGCTCCTGCCTGCACCAGCTGATGAAGTTGGACACGTTATCCCGCGCCACGAACGAGCCGGCGACGACGTTGCGTGACTGGGATACGACATCTTTGGATGGCACCTGCATGGACTGTGCAGCCTCCGGGTACTCCAGCTGGAAGTCCTGCGCGGCGCGGTTCACGTTGTTGGCGTGCCGACACAGGGCACAGCCCGTCCCCAGCCCATCCATAAAGGTGTCCGCAGTGACATCCAGGTCGTAGAGGGTGTTCAGCCATTCAGCCAGATCCTCCTTCATGGCGTACAGGTATTCCTCGCTGGATTTAAAAGGCCGGATACTCTTGGAGGCGGAGGACTGGATGTTGCTTTGATCAGCCATATTGTCTGGTTATGTAGCCTATCGATAAAGTCTACTTGATGATTCCCGATTGTCTCATTGCACAACCGTGCGCTGAAGCCTCGCCCGCAAAATGAAGCGAAATAACCGTGTTGACGCACCCATGCCGATTCGCATGTGTGGTTTTCTTACGGGAGCTCCTTGAAAGCAGGCTTTGTGTTGTCAGAGGCATATCGGGATGAGGTCTAGCCGTGGCGCATGGATGCGTTTTCCGGATGTCTCTGCGAAACCTGTTTCCTCTGAAGAGCGCATCGCCGGGTCCCGACGTGAGAGGGGGAGAGCGCTGCGGTCCGGGACGCGCTTTACACACCCATGATGCGACGGGGCCCCGTTAATCCACCCGGTGGCCGGCGGGTCTTCTCGCCCACAGAAATCCACGTGTCACCATGCCTGTGCGTCCAAAGGGCGGTCAGTCGGCTCCTCGTCGATGAAATCACGACCACTGAGCGGCACTGAGTCCACGGCTCGTCTCCCCTGCAGATAGGCCCGCCTCTTGCACTGAATATGTTGACCTGCTGTAGCTTAGACCAGCAGAGCGACTCTCTGTGGCACATCCCATTATGAGGGATCAACGCTCGGCAGAGGAGGAAAACTTAACCCCATGATCACCAACTCTGCGTACACACTCTTTAAAACACAAGTTCTGAATATAGTGCTGGATTCATCTATAACAATGCATATTATCATCAATACTCATTTGTCTGAATCTAAACATTAATTACAGCTGCCAAATAAATGTATAAGAGTAAAGCGTACTATCTATCTACTCCTATAGTATCAGGGGTAGGCTGTTTATTGAACTTTGGTACTTTTTCATTCATTTTACTTCAGTTCATGATGGTGTTGCACAATGTTAGAACTGTTTCACTCTGTAAAAATGTATTTGTATGTGTTTTCATTTGTTAAACACATTATCAGGCTTCTTGCAGTATCTCAATAATGAAGCCTCTGTGTGGTCTCTTTACCAAATAGCCTAAGGTCAATAAAGCTAACATCTCAGCATCACAAGACGCAAACTCTGCCTAGTACGAGAAATTCCATTCTAACAGTATAATCTTATAAATGATCACAGCATGTGATTTGTCGGTTAACCTTTAATGACTTTGTCTTAGCCTCTTGTATGTTTGTAATGAATGTGTTAGAAGTTTGAAGGAGGCACTGCACAAGTTAAAGACGCCCCAACTGGAGAGGAGAGAGAACAGGTAAACCCTGGAACAGCATGAGATTGGGAGTTGTTATGAGAGATAGTGAGAGAGATGCAGTAGGACAGTGTCATCCAGTCTAGTCAGACAAGCACAAGACAAAGAAGCCAATTCAATATGATCTTCTGTGTGCACGTCAGAAAATGTGTGTACTTATGTCACATATTGCACAAGATAACAAGGTTGCTGTTATTGCTCCTTTAGTTTTGCGTTAACTTAGGAAAACGTGTTTGATTTCTCTACTTCTTCTCTATTATCTCAAAAATATCAAAGGCTGGAATGAGAATGCAAGACCAGACATTCCTGTTCTAACGGTTTTACGGCTCAAGGTTTGAAACTAGGTTCACACTTTGGTGAACAGACCTGATTTTCAGGTTTTAATGGCAAGTTATGCTTCAGAAAAACATCAGGGAAACTTGCTCGGGGATCTAAAGACACCGTCTGTAATCAAAGTGTAAACAAATGGGTAGCCTTACAGCCAGAACTCAAAGCACATGATTAGAAACTACTTTGGATCCTGGGGGGGGGGGGTCTTTCAATTCAAACTTTACTCAAGTTTTGAATGTTTTACGACACCGCTGAAAACTTGTTTACCTATATGTGCCCTTATTCTGAAAGTTGTTGAGACGTACAGCACCCCTTATTGTTTTTAATCTAATACTTCAACTCTTCAATTGTATGTAAATATATCTGAAAACTTCTGACTGGGCCTTTCAAAGTCTTTTCCATCTCATTTGGAATTTCCTCTTTGACAATCTATTGAAGCAGCTCATACTCTCTAAACGTGTGCTTGTTTGAATTCAAGTGAAGCCCCTCTGCCAAGGAGGAGGTCTTGTTTTTATTTAAAAAGAGGGATGTGTCTGTTTAAGAAAGAGAGGGAGAGAGTAAGAAAGGAAGGGAGGGAGGGGGGGGGCGGAAGAGAGGGGGGGGGGGGGGGGTGATGAGATCATTTTCTGGGCCTGGATGAATCAGCTTTTCTGTCAGTAAAGAGAAAAAGATATATATAGAGAGAGAGAGAAGAATCCAGCACTCTATTAATCCACACGAACAACCGTCCACAGTGAACGGGAAGTACTCTAAGATGTCAGCTGTAGGTTTTTCCAGAGGGATCATTTAGAGAGCTGTAAATAAAAAATACAAAAACACAGACGTGAGACATCTTTTAATGTACAGAGCTGTGAGCTGCTGGTCAGTGTGTTTCATCAGCTTTTTATAGTGAAGAAAAAGTTGTTCGGTAACTTTAAATAGAAGATACTGCAAACGTGCAACATACTCTCACCACTTTCTTTAGACAGAATCCTACCGGCAGGATTATCTAGTGGTAACTCAATAGGTGTATGAAAAGAAACATTGGAGGATAGTTTTAATGGCCATATGTCTATCAGATGTAAAAAATGTAATGTGCCAAAGATACACATCAGTGATTAATAACAGCACTTAAATCAACTTGATTGCCTTTTAGAGAATGCGGTTGAATAAAATTAAAAAAAATACAGCAATGAGGCCAAAGCCTGACGGCAGTCAAGATGGGACACTGAGTAAAGTTAAACAAAAACAGGCAGAGGAAAGGAAATAAGGAAAAAATTAAGAGGTATTTTTCTCTGGTTTAGATTTGATACCGGCATTAAAATCATCTCCTTGTGTTTCGCGTCTTTGGTTGTCGGTTTACAATAGTATTGCTGTTTATTGGAGCATTAAGTCATGGAACGCAAAATAAGTTAGTTTCTGTTAAGACTAACTTAAATGTTAAGGTTAAAATTATATAAAATCAGTGATAAGAAAAGGCTTGAGGCCCTTTACACTGCTGTTGTTTAGTCAGGTCAGTCATGTTTTAACAAGGTGTAGTTAATGCAAAGCACCAGAAACCAGCCCGTACATCCATGTCACAACTGCAGCACTCAAGTTTCAGTTCAAACTGCTCCAGCTATGGACAACCAAAGTAACAGCAGCAGCCAGTTAGACCTGCAGATGTGCTCCATCTACAGACAAGGAATGTAGAATAAAACAAAATGTGAAGCATTACTTTGGGTATTAAACCATCAGCCGATGCACTCAAAAAATATTACCCTTAAGTGTTCTTCGGGATATGTAATAGGAAATACATAAATCATTTTTCAGGTTTCTCAATATACAGTTGTGTGAAAAAGTGTTTGCCCCCTTCCTGATTTTTTATTTTTTTGCATGTTTGTCACACTTAAATGTTTCAGATCATCAAACAAATTAAAATATTAGACAAAGATAACACAAGTAAACACAAAATGCAGTTTTTAAAATGAAGGTTTTTATTATTAAGGGGGGAAAAAAATCCAAACCTACATGGCGCTGTGTGAAAAAGTGATTGCTCCCTAAACCTAATAACTGGTTGGGCCACCCTTAGCAGCAACAACTGCAATCAAGCGTTTGTGATAACTGGCAATGAGTCTTTTACAGCCAGCGTTGTAGAGGAATTTTGGCCCACTCATCTTTGACTAGGCCACTCCAAAGTCTTCATTTTGTTTTTCTTAAGCCATTCAGAGGTGGACTTGCTGGTGTGTTTTGGATCATTGTCCTGCTGCAGAACCCAAGTGCGCTTCAGCTTGAGGTCACGAACAGATGGCCGGACATTCTCCTTCAGGATTTGTTGGTAGACAGCAGAATTCATGGTTCCATTTACCACAGCAAGTCTTCCAGGTCCTGAAGCAGCAAAACAGCCCCAGACCATCACACTACCACCACCATATTTTACTGTTGGTATGATGTTCCTTTTCTGAAATGCCGTGTTACTGTTACGCCAGATGTAATGGGACATACACCTTCCAAAAAGTTCAACTTTTGTCTCGTCAGTCCACACTCGTCAGTATTTTCCCAAAAGTCTTGGGGATCATCAAGATGTTTTCTGGCAAAACTGAGACGAGCCTTTATGTTCTTTTTGCTCAGCAGTGGTTTTCGTCTTGGAACTCTGCCATGCAGGCCATTTTTGCCCAGTCTCTTTCTTATGGTGGAGTCATGAACACTGACCTTAATTGAGGCAAGTGAGGCCTGCAGTTCTTTGGATGTTGTTCTGGGGTCTTTTGTGACCTCTTGGATGAGTCGTCGCTGCGCTCTTGGGGTAATTTTGGTCGGCCGGCCACTCCTGGGAAGGTTCACCACTGTTCCATGTTTTCGCCATTTGTGGATAATGGCTCTCACTGTGGTTCGCTGGAGTCCCAAAGCTTTAGAAATGGCTTTGTAACCTTTTCCAGACTGACAGATCTCAATTACTTTGTTTCTCATTTGTTCCTGAATTTCTTTGGATCGCAGCATGTCGTCTAGCTTTTGAGGATCTTTTGGACTACCTCACTTTGTCAGGCAGGTCCTATTTAATGATTTCTTGATTGAGAACAGGTGTGGCAGTAATCAGGCCTGGGTGTGGCTAGAGAAATTAAACTCAGCATTCCAAAGATGTGATAAACGACAGTTAATTTGTTTTAACAGGGGGGGGCCCTGTACACAGGGCCATGTAGGTTTGGATTTTTTTCCCCCTTAATAATAAAAACCTTCATTTAAAAACTGCATTTTGTGTTTACTTGTGTTATCTTTGTCTAATATTTAAATTTGTTTGATGATCTGAAACATTTAAGTGTGACAAACATGCAAAAAAATAAGAAATCAGGAAGGGGCAAACACTTTTTCACACAACTGTAAGTCTGACCGTGTGGAGTTTCTCTTCAGGCATCCTTAAGTGTCTACATTTAGGTCTCTTGTGAGTGATGAGGTTTGATTCTTCTAAAAATCACAGATCTGAGCAGAATATGGTTTATACGATAACCAAATCTAAATCATCTGTGGTGGATTGAGTCCTGACTGGGTCATGTGTACGTGTCATGCATGACTGCTGTCATAATCTCTACAGATCGTAAAAATAAATATGTGACTTATGAAACTAACTCCTCTACACCACCTAGTTTACAAGCGACTGCATTAATGATTCCCCTGCATGACGCGACTTTCTAAAGTTGAAATAAAGGCCACAACTCAAACATCAAATCAGTAAAATTTTATTTCCCAAATGTGTCATCATACAATAGCCAGTTACGGGAAAGATGAAGCAGTTATGTTAACGAATGGAAAAAAGCATTATACAACACTGTCAAATCTAATCACCACGTTTAAAAAAAAAGCAACAAAATAAACATGCACAATACAAGATGCTGCATAAACATGGGTAAACTAAAATAAAAATGGAAACAGGAGTTGAATGAAACTGCACAGGATGTTTATAAGCAGCTCTATAAGCATTGAAATATGGAATCATAAATTAAAAATGATCTTTAAAAATCAAATTCCGCAAGAGGAACAGTCAAGCTCTTCAATAGGGCCGCTCTCTGCGCTCCTGGCGATGGTCCCTAAAAAAAAAAAAAAAAAAAAAAAACAGAACAGTAGTAAGTGAACATATTTGCAGTGTCAGGTTGACAATAAATTCAGGTCACAGATTTGCATTCATCTGCTTTTTCCAATGGCTTACATCAAGATCCTTGAATTCCTCACTGGGAAAAAAGAAAAAAAAAGAAATAAGAACACATGATGGTGAGTCTTAATCCTACCTCATATCCATCTTTCCACCTGGTGGGCCCATTCCTCTTCCCCCTCTGCCACCCATTCGGTCCATGGGTGGTCCTCCACGCCCGGCTCCACGGAAACCTCCCCTATCCATTCCCCCCCGTCCTCTGAATCCACCGCGGTCTCCCCAACCTCCACGGAAACCTCCAGGACCACCTGGGCCTCCGGCTCCTGCCGGCCCACCACGGTCCATCCCTCTGCCTCCACGCATCCCCATTCCACCTCTGCCTCTGTCACCGCCGGGGGGGAAAGGAGGGCCACCGCCCAACCCTTCTGGTTTGGGGGCTTTGCACTGGTTACACTCCATCCTCCAGGCAAAGTTCTGGTTGCCGCAACCCCTGTGGACACAGACCATTAAATAAATGATAAACCAATCTTTGATACAAAAACAGACACTGCACTATGAAGTAATACATACGGGTTAGGACACTCCCAGTCCCCAGCTCTCTGCTGCATGTTGCCTCCTGTGGGTCCACCTCTGCCCATACCACGAGGACCACCACGCGGGACGAACCCGCCGCGGTCTCCTCCACGGTTCATCATACCTGATAAGAAAATGATAAAAAAAACAACGTTTTAATCATGAGCATATTCCCCTCGCTTTGATATACTTTTCTGTTGTCTCCAGCTTTGACATGCTGCAGTTTCTGCAAGTTTTTCATGTGACGCAAGCGCAAGTCTAACACTAACAAATACCGCTGACATTTACCTCCACGACCCATCATGCCATCTCTCATGGGCATGCCACCCCTCATTCCACCCATCATGGGCTTGCGACGTGCCATCGACACCTTAAGCCTTCGGCTTTGGAACTCCTTTCCTACAATTCAAGAAAATAACACAATTCACAAGTTATATTACTTGAAGGAGTGTTACCAGTTTAGATTTATGCATTAGGTATTCTGTTCACAGCCAGTAAAATGTACCATCAAAATGCTCCACAGCTGCTTTGGCACAGATTGGCTCCTCGTAGGAAAGGGTGGCGTCTCCCTTGGGCTTTCCTGAGTCCTTGTCTGTGTAAATGTTGATGGCAGGCTGGCCAAGTCTGCGGTTAATCTTGACACACAAAGAAAAGTACAGTTAGTTCCCATATTAGTTCCGCTTACGGCAATCTGTTAAGTGAAGAGCTATGCTTACCCTGATGGGGCCAACATGTTTAAAGAACTCAGCCATTTCCTCCAGGGTAGCCTTCTCAGTCAGTCCCGTGATGTAGATTGTGCTGTTTTCTGAGTCATCCTGCTCTTCAGGTCGTCCTGCAACAAATACACAAAATTGTAAATGCGCAGCAAAACAATCTTCCCCAATACCACGTCAACAAGAAGTATTCTGTATATGGGGGAGTAATGGGGGGGTCTAACAACATGACTACTCACCCGGTTCACGCTCATCGCTGTTCATTGGTCCTGTAGTCCATTTGAGGGGGGAAAGAAACAGATTGCGAAAAGTCAGTTTGTGAAACTTAAGTTCAGTGTACAACACCTGAAGAGTACTACAAAAGATAACCCAGACACTCCCTTCTATAGATGCTGCCGGCCATATTGGGGAAGTTGAAAATGGCACCTTATGGTACACCACAATTCCCACAAGTGATATATTGAATTGAAAATAGAACACCTCAGACCCTTTGGCAAATAACTGTGTGTCATTTGAAAAGCCTCAAAGACCAGTAAGAAATCCTCAAAAACAAACAAACCTGGAATTCGGCTCGTGAGATTTGTTAAAAAGCAGTAACACACATTTGAGTGGAAATTTGTCTTTAACCTGTCAAAAACTCATCGTCAAACCATAAGCAGTGACTGAATTATACCAAGTACCCCAGAGAATATGGTCTCAGGCAGCGAAAAAAAAAAAAAAAATCCAATATTTTCATATATGTTCATGTAGATAAATTTTGCATACATATTTTGCATGATGTAAGACACATCAATACTCGAAGCATATTTGCTCAAAAAGTTTAAGGCTTTGAAAGGACTAACCAGTGTAATACTCGTTAACTTACCACCAGGCTTACTGAAGCCACCTCTGTCTCCAGCGCTGCTATGGGGAATAAATGGAGATATGAAGGCGACTTCCCTTTTACAGCCACTTCCATGGCTCGAGCAAAGTGGCTTGATTGAGGGAGTAATCAAAACATTCTAACTAGCCCAACAGCAGCTAAGAAAATCCCCAAAATTATAAAAACACAATCGACTTGAGGGGATAAAAGTATTAACTATGTGCCATTCCTTAGCTAGCCGAGTACAACTTCAGTGACAGTTTTGAGTAGCGGATACATTTGTGCAATATTATACTAATTAACATTTTTTCACAGCCTTTGAAAATGTGACAAAACCCAAACAACTGTACACAAGTAGAAATATTTCAGATGCATCGATGGCACAGTTGTTCCTAGAAACAAGCCGGCACCCAAATAAAATTTGTTCTTACAAAAGGTTACAGCTGCCGCGGATACATGTAAAAGATAAACAATGCATCTGAAATTTGACAAGACGAAGAGGTGATTACATTCACCAGGTAATAATAGAAAGAAAAATACAATTATACAATTGTTCAAAACACCAAAAATATATTCTTTACAGTGTTTACCAGGGTTACGTTAAATCAAATACACAGACTTTCATGTTAATTAAAATACCCATCATGCTTATAAAAACCACCATCCTCAGTTGTAGAAAAAAGGCAGACCCCGAATCTTTGTTTTAGCTCCCTCCTGCTGCTTAAGCTGGCGGCTCTGCACTGAGTACAGATACTTTTTAGAGAATAGATGGGTTTAAATGGCTCTCACTGTTACCTGCACGGTATAAATGTGACAAAGCATGTTAAAAAGTGATCAAAAGAATGTATTCAAACATTTGTATTCCAAACCACAAAAACAATTTCAAACATTTCAAAATGACATGATGTGCCCACTCCCCCCAGAACACACAAATACACCTGTGCAGAGCTAAAATTACAATTTAACTATGAAAAGATCTACGACATGTCTGAATTTATTCATGTATTTAGGGTTGTATTCCTATTTATGCGATTTGTTAATGCTTTCTTATTTACCTCTACTTTGGCAGCGCTGCACAGTTGTTTGATTAGAGTGCTGTATCATAGAACAATATATGCCTAAAAATTGTGTGTGTGTGTGTGTGTATGTGTGTTAGCTGCACCAAATCCAGAAGAAAGAAGTCATGCAGAACTCTTATTTAAAAAGATGTTTCGACTGGTGTACCAGAAAAGTACATACCAAGGTACCCTCCAGACCAAAAACTGAATGTTCAAGAGTTGAAAAAAAGGGTTCTTTCCCAAAAACCAAATCCTAAAATTGAAAACCTGTCGCGTCAAAGATCTATATTGGCAATTCAAAAATAGTTTAAAAAAAAAAGTTTTTCAGATTTTAGTTTTACAGCCAAAACAATGTGCAACCTGTGTTCACCTCCACACCCACGGCCTCTCTCTTGGTAATAACCCTTTAAAGTCATGCTCAGGGCAGCTGACTGATTTGGGGTCAAACCATGTTTGGCTGCAGAGTATAGAAACATATGTGCATGGGACAAACTGCTCAAATGTCAAATCTGCACCGAGAGCAAAGTTGATGAGGGTACCAGAGTAAATGTGTCACGGACCGGCTCAATTGAGTTCTAACTCCACTACCAGGAGGGATACACACCTCAATACATTAGAAGCAGAACCTGAATGCTGGTTCTTGTAGTACGGCTGAGATTAGTCTGGATCCCACTAGACCAAAACCCATTGACTGAACGCACCTGCACTAAGACAATCACTAGAGCACGCCTACAATATGGTTATAATCTAATATACTGCGTTTCTTCATGCCGTATAATATCACTAGACGTGTTTTTTTTTTTCCCCCTCCAACTATGTCACGGTGTGACACCACAAACCGCTGCCAGTACATGTCTGGAAAATAACAGCAGCGGCTGTGTTAGAAAATTAAGCGTGATTTTTATATTATTTGCTCTCAACATTTTGACCATACTGCAAGTCTACAGTTTACCAATTCCTTTTTCCCTTGGATGGATATTGAGACATTGACAACAAAAAATGTTTTTAAAAGATTCGAGAGCTTGGTATCAAGTGATAATTCTGGTCTTCTTTTATGACCAATGTGTGCTACAAGCAGAAAATTGACTCAGCAACTTGAGTAAAAGTTGTTCATTTTTTGTTTTTATGTCTTGCAGTAACATTAGCATATTTGACTCTGCTATTTGTGCGGTGCAATTTTTCTTTTACTTCACCGGGCCAGTCAAATGAGGACAAACACTTGTTGCCAGTGATAGCCTCGTAAAACCCAACCATGACACCATTGAATGTATCCGCAAGTAAAAAGGGGCGAAAAACCGTAAGAGGAAATATATGGACCCAAATATAGCACTCAAAAAGGGGTTTTTGAAATGCAGCAGAATTTACTGCATGAGACCCGCGTCTATTTCTAAAGGTTATGTTGTACGGTGTTGCAGGACACGACACAGTTTAGTTAAGTGTTGTGATGCTGGAATCACAACAATTGGGGGAAAGAAATCTGCATGATGTATCCAACCGCTAATTACATTTTAGTATTTGTAAGTGTGTCACTCTAATGCAGATTATGCACCAAAGTGGGAAAGTAGTTTAAAGGGTGCTGCTGATCGTGAGTGTTTGAACTTTCCTCAAGGAAACCAATGATAATTCTGATGTGTATGTAAGATATAGTTGCAATAAGATTCTATAACATTACCTGACCAATCATGAAGTAATGTCTGTTATCCCAAAAGTTTTTGATATGATTCATAATCAAATTATGTCCTAGGATTTAAGCTGTTCAACCTAAATGTTTCTGCACAAGTCTCTGATCAACTTTGATTTATAATAAAAAAAACAAATTAAAAAAAAAAAAAGGGACAAACCTTTCTTACCTTTGGCAAAATTAGAGGCAGGGCTGAGAATAGCTACAATTAATGCCAATGTTGGCATAGACTACATCTTCCATCTAGGCCCTTAGGCTTTAAAGGGGAAACCCATCATTTATCAGCATTAACTGTTGATAAATCACAAGCACCTCATAGTATAAGAGAAAAAAGGTGGCATAAATTATTGTAATGCTACTTTGGGTTATTCCAACTGTTTCCGATGACCCTCGTCTCAGCCCTGCCCCTAGTGGCCACAGGACCTGCAGAGTTAAAATACATGTGAGGTTGAGTGCTAAGGAAAGACACTTACCCCATGCCACGGCCCATGCCTCCACGGCCACGGTGCATCATTCCACCGCGATCAAAGCCATCCCTGCTAGGGCCCCGGCTTTCCCCTGACCCCGAGTACCTTGAAGACTCAGAGCCAGAGTAACCAGAACCTCCACTCTGGCCATCCTGTCTGTAATTATCTACACAAGAGGAACACAAATAGATCAACATATGTTTTACAGACATTAAGATGAACTGTATCAATGAAGATCAGAAGCAGCTGTTGGGCAAAGTTGAGCAGGCTTACTGTAATGGTTGGACTGGTTGTAACTGGGAGGTCCACCTTGCTGACTGTACTGGTTGGCTGCAGGCTGACTATAGGAACTAGAAGTCTGAGGAGGGTAAGCAGGAGGAGCCTGTGTCTGCTGCTGGGTCGGCTGCTGGTACCCCTGCTGGCCGTAGCTGGCCTGCTGGGCCTGGTAGCCAGATTGTTGCTGGCCATATGCTGCTGGCTGGGAGTAGCTACTTTGGCTGTAACTGGCGGGCTGGCTGCTAGCATTGTAACTGATCGAAGCAAACAAAGACAGGGCATTGAGTTAAACGATGAGCATGTCCTTGAGGAATTCATGCATTTGGTTTCAAGCAGAGGGGTACATACCTCTGTGGTGCAGTGGGAGCCGCCTGCTGGCCATAACCAGGGTAGGCAGACTGGGCAGTATAGCCTGGCTGAGAGCCGTAAGACTGGGAGGCAGCTGGCGCAGCAGCAGCAGGAGTACTGTCATAACCACTGGCTCCATAGCTCTGGGTTGACTGGGAGTAGGTATTAGTGGCAGACTGGGCAGCAGGATAGCCAGCTGTGGGGAAAAAAAAATGTATCTTTTGTGTCTTAGTGTGTGATAAATATAAAGTTAAAATTTGAGGGAATTTCTGAAATAACATTAGGATCAATTAGACATTAAGGGTAGTCTTTCAAACAAACACTCTAAGCTACAGACAACCATGGTGGTCAATTCAAATCTTCAGAATTCAATGTCCGTATGCATTTACCATTGAACACCAGATTTGTAGTATTGCATGCACTAATGCATGTTTAAAACAGATGTCACTTTGTCCCATATTTGCTTTTGGCAACATTTTGTTTTGTTCCCGCCCATTGCATCTAGTTCTAAGCAGAACCACATAACATTTGTCACATGTCCCGTTTAAAGAACCAACCTGCTGCAGGCTGAGCGTATGAGGATCCATACTGTTGTTGCTGTTGCTGCTGCTGAGTGTAGCCTCCAGCGGCAGGTGTTGTCTGAGTGTAACTGCTGTCAGCAGCAGCAGGTTGGGCATATGATCCATAACTCTGCTGACCATAGCTCTGCTGAAAAAAAATAAAATAGGACATGCTTCAGCTGCTAGGTAGAATAAACATTAACTTTAACAATAAGACTTAAGTCTAATTAGTTCATGCTTCAATAAGACCAACATTGATCATTATACACATACTGCTTCCTCTTCCAATTTTACCCTCATTAACTGTTGCAAGCCAGGTGTGTGCTGTAGTTTGTATTCATATATTTAATCAATAAATTCAGTCCTTAAAATAATCCATGAAGTTAAAATTACAACTATCACAATAACAAAAGTCAGGGTGAGCTACAGTCAGTTGCTTTTCCAAACATGTTAAATCTCACCTGTGCAGATTGTCCATAGCTTTGTGAGGGCTGGGCAGCATAAGCTGCATACCTGGAAAACACAAATGGAAGTTTTAGGACGACAGTACCACTGATTAGTAGTCATACATGCATACACACACACACACACACATATATATATATATACATACATACAAGCATTGCATTCAATGACTTGAAAGGGTTCCTGAAGGTGCTTACCCTTGCTGAGCAGTGGTCTGACTGTAGGTGCTGTAATCTGCTAAAGAAAAGTAACACGTTTGTTAGCTAACGACTGAGTGTTCGAACAAAACGGTATTTGCGCGCGACCAGCGATGCTAATGCTAGCAGCACGCGACACCGAACCGTTGTTAGGACGCCATTCAACGACGCCGATGTAGGTTAAGACATTCATCGAACAGGGCGGCGCTTCAAAACGTACATATAGGAATTATCGGCACGCGCATTCAAAATATTTCGATACATTTGGTAATCTGGCGTCCATTATCTACTTCAGTATGCAGAAATGTTAAACCCATCCGGTTGAAAATACCTCAGCGCCTCGATAAGCTAACATGACTACTAGGCCTTGTGGCTAACGTTAGCGCGAGCTAACGCTAAACGATATTTGAAGCTATACAAGCCGAAAAAATGAATTATACCGGCAAAATCTATTTTACAATAAACCAAACCCCTTAGTTGCATAAGTTAAATAACAGATATTCATCAAAATACGCATAACATTTCACAATTCTCTACTCACCCGGAGCCGACGCCATTTTAATGTGCCTTTAGAAGACGACTGGACGAGTCTGGCTGCTGGAGAAATGTAACTCTCTTTGCAGGAAACACAAATCTCGCGATAAATACGAGCTATCGCGTGAACAGCGACCGATCCCTTGAATAATCACTTTCACAGCCTACAATATTAAAACATAGTTTGATTAATTTCAAAAATAAAAAAACAACTTACTAGCCTATAATATGCTATACTACTATGGTAATATATTAAGGTAGAAAATCATGTCGGTGCTGACAAGGTGAGAATGTTTATAAAATCATGTAAAAGATTATAAAGTTATTTCACCAATAAACTTCTCAGTTTGTTTAATTTGAAAAAAAAAAACAGCTTGAGCTCTAAAGTGAAAATAGTCTGCCTCTTATTTTGAATCAAACAGTAGGGACATAAAAAAATCCCCACTTTTAAGAAGCTGGATCCAGATATTTTTTTATAAAGGACATACAAGCTGAATTGATTATCAAAACTGTTGGCAATTTATTATCGTTTCACCACTTGTGTGATTTACAAGACAAGCCTTTGCAGTGTGAATTTGGCTGTTTTCTATGCAAACTTGTGGCGGTGTGTCCAATAGGTGGCAGCAACGCGCCCAACTCTAGTTTTCCGGGTCCATGTCAGTAAAAACAAAGAAGAAGAAGAACACGTGACGGAGTGCGGAAGTAGACGTTCGCTTAGCCCTCAACATTTTATTTTCTTATTTAAGGACATTTATTACTCACGTATTGAGAACATAGTTATGTTAACCTCACAGGTTTGTTGTAACCTACATACAGTGGTAGAGATGTTTTGACAAGTTAAATTATGGAGGATTTTACAGCCAGTAGCTACAGTTGGAGCTTGTTTACCAGAATTATGCCACTGAAGTACAAGTGAGTGTAGCAACTACAGCTTATCCTAAATAATGCTTCCTCGTGTATTGTCAGTATGGTTTTGGTTTGGATCAGATCGCCCTGGATTCTGTCTGGGAACATCTTTATTGACGACACTCACGCTTGTGATGTATGCTGGGGGCATCCAGGCAAGTCTCACTGTCGGTCCAGGTGGAGACTTCCCCAGGCTCAGAGGTAACTGTGTGCTTATCATAACTCTCATATTTCAGTGTTCAAATCACAGCATGTAATGCAGTTTTCTCTCTTAACTCCCCCCTCAGATGTGTTCCTGTATGCCTTCAGTCATGATGAGCTGCCCTCTCTGCTGGTCAGTGTTGCCTTCCTGCTGTTGGTTGGACCGTGTGAGGAGCGCCGCTGGGGAACAGTCGCCTTTCTCTCCCTCTCCATCCTCACAACGACCTTATTGCCTCTTCTTTACACCCTGGTCATGTTTGTCGGTGGTGGTGAGGCGAGTCGGATCTGTGGTTACTCTGCCATCCAGCTGGCTCTGTTTGCAGCGCATTGTCGTCAGATGGCACAGAGGAGGCTGCTGAGGTGTCTGCCGGTCTGGTTTCTCCCCTGGCTTCTTCTGCTGATTGGTCTGCTGCTGCTGCCTGGGACACCTGCCCTGCTTCACTTCTGCACAATATTCATCGGACACAACTGTATCCTTTCCTTTTCACACAGTCATTTAATTCTACTAAAATATATTCTCCCAACAAACATATTATAGTTGTTAAAGCTTGACTAGACCTCTACTGAGGATTGAATGTGCACAGACGGCACTTTATTGACATCTGTCTCCCTTTACTGTTAGTTTTGTTGAACTTTTAGGCTTTTTCATTCTTGTTATTAGATAGAAATTGACATCATGTAATGCCCAGCCAAAGTGATGAAGAACACCAGTTTGGTAACATATTTTAATGCAGATTTTAAAATATATTTTTTACTGTATTTAACCATAGCTTTCCTAATACTTTTTATTCATGGAACCCCTTTGTGTGTTTTATTTCAGGCCTTGTCATTAAAATGTAATTGTCTATGACTCATAGTATAAGTGTGAGGTTTCTTGCTGAGAGTTTGAGTCAAAATGTGCCGTTCCTTCCCCCACCAAATCTATACTGAAGCATCATGTCTTTATTTACAACACTTAATGTACCTCTCAGATCACCAGTCCTTCATTGGGATGTTACAGGAGCTGGAGGAGACCAGGGTCTTGGACTTCATTCCTGATTGGGCGTATGTTCGCTCTTCAGCCAGGTTGAGATTGCCCATCTGCACTACATCACAGAGGTCTGATTCATCTTGTTTATGTTAAAAGTCTCACTGAATATTCACACTCACCACCTGTGTGCAGAGGCAGATTTACATCTTTTTAACTTAATCTGTTGCCACAGATCTAGATCTCTTTCTCAGATGATGCCTGCAGATCAGGCAGCTGCTCCACCCATGAGGGATCAATCGAACCACCACCCATGGGTGGATCCAGTGCCTGCCTGGATAATGACAGAGTCTGCTGCGCTGTCTGAGGCCGAGGTACTGGAGGAACAGATGCTAAGAGCAGGAATACTGGCCTCATTACAGGATGCTCCTGACAACCCTGATTCAAAAGTGGAGGTGCCCAAATCATCAGTTTCCTCTCTCCGGTTAGTAATAATGTAATATCTTCATACATAGCATGTTGCTTCTCCTCACATTATTCCCAAGTACAGTTTTATTTATGTGATTTCAAGTAATTCTTCACTAAAAGACCATTGCTTCCTCTCAGACTCCAGCAGCTGGAGAAGATGGGCTTCCCCACAGAGAAAGCTGTAGTGGCGTTAGCGGCCTCAAAACAGCTAGATGGCGCCATTTCTTTGCTCATTGATGACAGCGTCGGAGAACAGGCTGTGATGGTATCTAAAGGGAGGAGCCCTCTGCTGCCGCACAGCACCTAGACCACATCGCACTCCTGTGGACTGAGTGTTTGCTCTTGTGCAGTGAACTGGACTCACGTTATGCTTGGGTTTTGCTGAGCTTTAATATTAGATTTTCCCTGTGGGCTACTTTTAGAGCTAAATTAATTATCAGAATTTATGGGGGCGGGGGGGTGAAAGACTGAGTTGTTCTTTCACCACAACTGTGATTCAAATCCAGTGCAGAAGCAAACGTAACCGCTTCGGAGACACTTTCTGTATCTGCACATAAAATGTACATTTGAGCGAAAGGATGCCATTTATTTATTCTGTAATAATGTTTAATGAATGCTGTTGTGTTTTTAACACAAATAAAGAGAGGTGACATGTAGAAAAACAAAACAATGCACATTATTTTATTACATCAATCATCTAGACAGGATTATCTCAACACAATAACACATTTGCAAGAAAAAACATGTTGAATGAAATATAAAATGGTTACACAACAGCATACGAAATAAGATACAAAGATCATTTTAAATAGTTTCACAATAAGTTTGATATAAGATGAAAAAACAATCAAGTCTTTTCATCAGGACAGTTTAAGCTGTCAACAGTGGTAAAAATATGTTCAAGTTCCATTAACAGTTTTGCTATTTCCTCTGCATCAAAGATCTTAAAATGGACAGCCAATTCCAGAGATGTTTAAAATGATGATATAACATAATATATGACATAATCTGTTTTGTCACCAAACTCAAATGTGTGTGCTTTTAGTACACACACTAAATGTAAATATACTATTGTATATTAAATCACTTTATCAGTGTGTACTTTAAGGGGGGGGACACGCACACCAGAAAACTACAAATCACTGTTAGCAACACATATCTTAGCTAGAGTAGAGATGCCTTCATCTTTTAGTGCACTACATAACATTGAGTTAAACAATATGATTATAACAAAATGAATACTAGAAGAGGTTTGTTTGTGTACTTGTGTCCTGCAAACTGTACATGCTCAATATGCTTAAATAGTGGAATCTCTTCAAATTGCAGTTAGATTGTGAAAGCAATAAAAATGCAAATCCAGTCTGTTTTCTCACATCTGATTTCTCCTTTCATTGATTACTGTAAATGACCCTTATTATCCGGAACTGTTTGTAGCTCGAGGAGCACCACAGAAGATTCAGATTTTCCTTTTTTCAAACATTAAACATCTTCACTCTGAGGCCCGACTTCTGTAGCCAAAGAAACGAGACGCACAAAGCTGTTGGGTGTGTTATGTGAAGATAAGTGTTTGGTTATGGTGATGGGTGGGGGTCAAACTAGTTCTCAGGGTCCCGATGGAGGAGGGCATTTTGGAGTATCAGTGGAGTTTCCCTGAGGTGTCCCCCATCCTAAATCTGACGGTAAAGCCCAGAGAGGGTATCAGATACCGTCTAAATCTGATGATGGTCGATGAGACCTAGAGGAGGGGGAGTCAACCCAGCCTGTGATCCTCAGGGTGAGCAGGAGGGGGCTACTTTCCTCGAACCTTGGTGTTGGTGGACAGAGGAGAAGCAAGTCGATATGGAAGCGCACCTGCTCGCTTATCTCTGTAGAAACTAGGGGAGGCTGTGTCAAACGGTCCGTCCCCAGACCCTAGATCAGGCTCTGTTGAAGAAAGACAGCAGTTGGAACGGGGCCTCCCTGTCCATCAGCGTGTGAGGACATGTGCACTCTGTAGTCCTAATCCAAGTCTACTCTGACGTAGCTGTTAACCTGGAGGTGTCATGAGTGGGCTCTTATTGGACACCAGTTGCCCAGTTTTTATATCAAAATGATTAATTAACTAGCTAGTGTTCAAGGGATTTATTAAATCCTTCTTTGCTTGATTGTTCTGTAAAGGAGGTGCGTCTGGCTATTAGGGCTGCAACGACTGTTATCAATTTGTCTATTTATGTTTTCTTATAGATTAGTTGTTTCATCTATAAAATGTTGACAACCAGCAACAGTGAAACACCAAAATATATTAAACTCCAAGGACACGAAGCAGCAAATCCTCACACTTCAGAAGCCAAAATCAGCAATTTTTGGGGTATTTTTTCTAGATAAACGACTTAACAATTCAGTGATTATCAAAATTGCGACAAATTTTTCAATTGACTTATCATTGCAGCACTACTGGCTAGTGTTTACATCCATCAATACACATTAACCTAGGAAGCACGGTTATTATACAAACGATTAAAGCCCCTGAAAACTTGACTTTCAATATTAGTTATTCTTAATAAAATTCATGACTAAATAATAACAATAAACATTAAAAACAATCTTAGGTATTATATATTTCACGAGTTGAGTTTATTAGGAGCTTAACACTCAGCTAATCGGCTTCAGCAGGACTGTGTGGGTGTGGTTAGATCACATGACGGTGCTGGTGCGACATCAGCGACCAAATAAGTAAACCTTCATTTGATTTTGATTCAAATGTTGTAAAATCCTTATTGGTGCTCGGAAGTGTGTGACATCAACCAGCGAGAAGAGCAAAGAAAAATTCACAACAGCAAATTTCTCGTGAAATAACTCACGTGATTGTGTAAATAGGTTTTCAGGGCCTTTAAAACATCTGTGCTACAACCGAAACAATTCACACACAAGAATACATCTGCTTTTCAGTGACTACATCAACATTCAGCAGTTCAGGTACATTTCATGCCTCTAACACTCGATCAAGACCTTCTAGATCTTGTCAAAAAGGTCAGTGAGGGCTGGCAGAGCTGTGGGTGAGGATGTCTCAGCGTTACCTGGCCAGATGATAGCCTCCAGCAGCGTCACCCTGCGAGCCAGAAGCTCAAGGTCTGCCTGCAAGTCGTGGAACATCTGCAAGCTAATGTCCTAACAGAGAGCAGTGACAGGGGGGACTGTGTGAGGGGGTGGAAACACCAGCCTGAGTCCTGGGGCTGCTCGCGACTGTTCCCACTCCCTGTCCCAGCAGTGAGGTACAGTGGCAGTTTTTTTTGCCCCCACCACCTTTGACCCCTGCCTAAAGCTGACCCTGCCTCAGGCCTCCTACTCACCATGAATACCGATCATAGTCTCAAGGATTAAAACCCTCTCGGCTAAGATCTTCAGCGCCTCTCTGATCTGATGTATGCCGTCCCCCTGTGAAGATAGATACAGCCGTCAAGGTAAAGAGCACAAGCAAAAGAACTGCTCGCCAAGATGCAAGTCATTTTGTCTCTCAATACAATTCAGCAGTTAGAAGGTTAAAACAGTCCACATATCTGCCCAGCACTCTCAGACGTATCTGTTCCCCGTATTTCTCTGTATCTCCCTCATTCTCTGGCCATGCTGCTACATGAGGTCAGTCTCTGCCATGCTGGGCTGGGCAACATCGGCATGCACGTTGCAGACCAGCCTCATGTTGGTGACATAACACAGCTGGATTACATTATCCCAGGATTTAGATTTGATCATGCCATCTGCATTCTTTTTTTTGTTGAGTAGCACTTAAGCCAGACGATTATTTTTCAGCACCACAGCTTTCATTCTTAACGCTGTGGTCACAAAAGTTATCCGATGTCGCCTGACAAAATGAAGCCAGTATAGATTTACACTGAAATCTAATTTATTTTGTCATTTGAGAAAGGATGAGGCAATGGCTTCATGAGTTGTACCTCGAGAAATAGCAAAAAGGAGTTGAACAAGAGAAGTAAAGCAGGCAGAGACAGCTGAAAGCATCAAGGCATGCAGAGAATAGCCGAAGCCTTTGGTGCACAGGTGAGTGAAATGCTTTCATTAGTCAGACAAACCAACGACGCGCTGTATGTTTGGAGAAAAAAGGCAAAGTTTCTGAGTCCTACGATAACTGATTACATGTTATTTTAATGCTGGCAGCGTGGCTTAGTTAATTGGTTCGATGCATCACTTTGCTTCAGGCTAAAATGTTGACAAGACATTCACGGCGGCCTCAGGATGAACAGCATTGACATACTCTGACTTTCTGATTTGGCACCACCATCAGGTCAAAACTAATGATATTCAGATCAACCACAGCTGTACTTTGTGTGTAGTGCAGCAGATGCTGAACTAAGCTGTCAGACATGATAAACATATTTGCTTAACATCAGCAATTTAACATTGTCATTTTGAACATGAAAGCATGCTTTTGAACATGAGAGCATAGACTCTCTGTAGACTTTCTGTTATCAGAGAATGAATCCCCAAATAAAATGTTGAATTTAGAGATACTTTGCCTTATTTCTTTTTTAACCGCCCTGTGTTATTTCACTCATTAGATGCATTCTGTAGTTGATTTTCACATCCAGGAAAGAAAGTTTATGTGGTACTTGGAGGCGAAATCATGCAAGGTTGCATTGTGGGGTGAAATAGGGTAGCTGTATCCACTCCACTCACATCAGAGCACAACACCTCTAAACCCAACAGGACCCATCACCGACACATATATGGAGTGATTTGGCATATACATTTCACACATTTGCTTTGTGGTTCATTGAAACATTTTGAAGTCCGTAAAAATCAAACAAATACAGTTGAATTAAAATGAAAATGATCCAAAATTTGCTTCTAGAGGGATTTTTTTTTACTATATTCTACATTAATTCACTCAGTCAGAGCTGATGCGCGGTGTGGTTACAAGATTGCTATTGTTTCTTGTATTTTTTTTTATGTATATGCCAAAGTCAGATGCTGAAAAGGTGACTGTGAAAGGTAGCCATGGGGACAGTAGCTTGCAGAGGGAGTCAGACAGCTTTAGGGTCAAGAGGACAGTGTCGTGACAGGGGACAGCAGTCCAGAGCACACCCCGAGGACCAACACAAACAAAAACACATTAACACCAGAAGATTCCACACACAAAATCAGACAGAGCAACAGCTAAAATCACATCTACTCAAACAGAAACAACAATGTAAAACAGACACGTTCTGATCATCGACAGGGAGGAAAGTATGGACTTGAGAGAAAAAGACATGAACACCACTTTGTGGCCAATCACAGCCATAAACATGGTGACTGTAAAAAGATCATAACCATAACCTGAGATGTGGGTCATGGTTAGACTTGAGCTTCAGGTCACAGAATAGAATCATTGCATTGCAAAGTGAACACGCGATGACATGAATTAAAGATATCTTACATTTAGATTGCTCTTGTAAAATGAGAAAGAGGTAAAAGAAAAATAAGGGTTAGACGGACACAGAGGAAATATTGAATGCTCAACAAAGGAATCTTAAAACCTTTTGTTAAATCTTTTAACTTAAAGCAAAACTCTCCTGTCCAGGCGCCGTGTCACCATGTGAACTACCACCAACTACTTTCTTACCGGCAAGCCCTTCTCTCCTGGCTCTCCCTTGGTACCCGGTGTTCCCTGCAAAGAAATATTCACAACAGAATATAAAATATGACTTTAAAACATAAACGAAATCGGTGCAGCAGTTTACTTCGACAGAATGAGCTCCTTCTCTCCGAGACTGTGTTGGGTCGCAGGTCAGTGTGATTTGTAGCGCTGCTGGTTAGCGTAGTTTACAGTAATATAACCAGCTACGACATGTGTTGATGTTTCCCCCCCGTACGCTTGTTTACTCAGGCCATAATCATCAAGGCAGCATGGTGGAGGACGCTTACCGACTCGCCTCTGAAGCCCCTCTCTCCTTGGTAACCTAAAGGACCCTGCAAAACCAAAGGCATGTTGTTTAAGGATGTAGAATAAATGAGGATAACCTACTGAATATCATCAAGTTGTGGGTGTACTCACTCTCTCCCCGCGTTCTCCCTTTGGACCCACAGGGCCCTGCGTTCCAGGGGCTCCAGACTTCCCCTGTATTGAGACGGGAAAGGAAATTCAAAATGGCAACGATGAATTTGTACTGCAACAAATCTGACAGTGCTAAGCTCAGTAAGTGCACCACAATGCTGTGAGTGAGCTTACATTCTGTCCTGATGGACCTGGAGGTCCTGATGGGCCTCTGGGACCTGATGGACCTGCGTAACAGATAGAAAGACTCATGTTAGCACCCTCATGGTGGAGGTGGTGCTGGGTTTTAATTGTGTTTTGCACATTGTGTTGTTGTGTTATGTACAGCACGTGTAGGTGTTTGTGACCTAATTAAGTTTAAAAAAGCAACTTTCAGTGTGTGGACTCAACTTTGAGGGATGTATTGTGTTTGGTCACCTGGTTAACGATAAACATATAAACTCACAGAAACTGAAGCTAGAGGCCGTATTTTTGTATGTAAAAGCATTTGAGATATTTGCATCTTTCAGTGTAGGGGCAGAGTTTCCCCAAACATACTCGGTGCAGTACAAAGATAAACACAACATAGAAAGTGATGAACACTCACCGACAGGCCCGGGGGGACCCTCAGGTCCTGGAACAGGCAACCCTGGTGAGTCATGGAAAGTGTTGCTGAAGAAGTCTTTTCCACGACCTGGAGTTGAAACAGATTGTGTGTATTTAATGGCAGCTACTTATTTTTTTCATTACATGTATTACTTCATCAATTATGTTCTCTTTATTTTGCCTTTAAGGGAATCATTGGGACTCAAACCTGGCTCTATTTATAGGTTTCAATAATTGTATTCAATGATCAAAATAAACTGCCATGACATGAACATGTAATGGCACTCTCTTTGTGTTGTGGGTATGCAGTAATTCATGTGATGCTGTGCCTCCAACAAGATTCACCAATGAAATGGTTGAATACATTGATAGATGGTGATCTTTAGGTTGAAGTCCGTGGTTTTAGTGAATGAGGCATGATTTGTATGTAGCCTGAGAGAAAGTGAATCTGAAGAAGCCTGCGGCGAAATGTCTTGTTCCCACAGTTGCATTTGTGAAGAATATTGATCCAAGCCTTTCCAGTGTGTGATGTTTTACTTTTGTTTTTTAGTTGCTGTATGGTTTGAGCTCACAGCTTGCTGCGCCCACGCTTTTCTCAACGCGGCACAAGCCTTTGGAAATAATTTGTTTCAAAGCGCAGTAGTACCGTTGTTGGGTTCGGTCTGAAAGGGCCCTGAGTCCTGCTGTCACTAGCACCAGGGAAGTCTGCAGTAAATGCTGTCCACAAAGCAATCCAACTGAGTTGACGCTGCCTGAGAAGCCCGACTCAGGGAAATGAAGACGATCGCCATTACATTAGAGTAACCTCCAGAGGGCAGTATCTTTCAACAAATACGAAAACTTCGCCTAATGACTTCAACAGGTTGGTAAACTACACTAAAATGTGTTTGAAAGCCCTGTCAGTAGTAGATCTGTGTTTCCCATTCATTAAAAAAAACTTTCCATATCCACTGTGTAACAGCACTAACTGGACGTCTTCATCAAAACTGAGTCTACAAGAGGATGGTGAACATGTGAGCGTTAGAGGAAGTGTGCGGTCATTGGGTCATTGTATATGGAAACACAGATCCAATCACAGCATGAGACAGGAGACACAGAGAGGAGGAGGAGGAGGAGGAGGAGGAGGAGGAGAGCTGACAGCCAGAAACATCCTCCAGCTGCCAGAACGTTGCACATCGCTAACAGATCTCGACGAGAGGTGACATCCAAAACAGGGCCGCTCTCTCTGTCTATTTCTACTCTCTCTTCATTTACTTTAAAGAACGCACTGGCATCTGTGGCTTAGCGTGACATAAATAACGTGTGAGCGATGTTTAAACAACAATGCTCCTCCTCACTACTACGTTCTGGCTGCTGGATAGGAGACCTCTCCTGTTCAGCAGAAGGGAATTCCAACCTCCTGATGCAGACGTAAAAGCCAAATAAGCCAGTGTTTTCCAAAGGAAGCTCAACACGGCCCCTACTGTTACTTTGATGTGAAAGAAATGGCTCGCAGTCTCGGAAATCATCATGCCAACCTCGACGTACCCACAGCTTTCTCCACGCAGGAACCCAGAGCTTACAAATATGTGCGCTGCATTCTTTGTTTTACCGCTGAATCCACATTAGGCCTTGACCTTGAAAGAGCCGGAGTGGGCCCCCATCTGCCTCTCACACTTCCCTTCAGCTGACTGAGTTGCCTACATCTGGAAGTTGTTGAGTGACATCAGTGATGGACAGGTTCTCATCACAGCATGTGAAGTCTGAGTCTATCTCAGGCTGCCTCTGCCTTCATTTAATACTCTTTGATTCTCTACTTGGCTGGTGGACAATAAGGAGCGAGGAGCTGTGAGAGGATTACCACCATCCTATCTGTTTCTCATTCTCTTTGTTGCCTTTGTTTATCAGTAGTCCTAAAACTTCTGAAAGCTTTTATGCAGCAGGAGAGAACACGTCTGTGAGCCTGCTAAAGACACGTGAATATCAACAGTTTGCAGTCTGTAAAACCAAACATCATCATGCAGCCGGAGAACAAAGGCTTTGATTTGATTTATGTACATGCGCTCATGCTGGTTCATGGCAAAGTGAATTTGTTACATTGAAATTAAATATACAGCAATAAAAGAGATGGTTTTACATATTAAAGTATGTTTACAGGTCTTGGGGAGTACTACTGTATATGACTAAAGTAGCATGAAGCCATTTGTGATGTCCAATGAGTCAGTGTCAGTAGAGCCTGAAGACTACAAGTTTGAAAATAAAAGACGTGTGTATGGAGGCAGAAAGCAGTTAGTGTACCATTAGCCGCTACTACCTTAAAGCACCCAAACCTTCCGACCAAATTGTTGGTGGTTGAGTTGCCTTGTTGGTAATGTAGGCACCAAGTTTTGACCAGAAGAAGAATGTATGAGGAAAAAAAAGTCAAAATCTTTGGTTCTGCTGCATCCATTTTTAAAAAACTGTCCATCGAAGGCAATGCTAAATTGGTAAAGTACTCTTTTAAGACTCATGTTGTTAACAAATACATGTTACAATAATGTTTTGGTGTGGGATTTGTGTCATGGTGACTGTATGAAGTCTGTTAGTTGTCCAGGGTCTTACTGTGGTCTGGTTCTGGGATGTGGGCACTGGCCGGAGCTGGAGGCCCCGGAGGGCCAGGCAGGCCTGGTAGACCCCTCTCTCCTAGGTGTCCTGGTGGACCACGGGGGCCTGAGAGGAGAAATAACAGAAACATCACTGTGGTGACAGACATACTGTATTTTAGAGGTATGTCATAACAAAATATGATCATATAAATCTCCTCTGGAGAGGCACAGCACAACGGCACACTGGTAATGATAAATGACTGTGGGTGATGTGATGATAGGAGGATAAACTATGACAAAGACCAGAGAGGAAATAGATTAGATAAAGTGCTGAATGATACAACATAATAGTGGCTGGCTGGATATGTGTGTGTGTGTGTGTGTGTGTGTGTGTGTGTGTGTGTGCGTGCCACTATACATTAAGTATGTATGTGCACATGTGAAGTAAACTGAGCAGCTGGACAGAGGAGAGGTGTATGAACTGCCTGACTTTGTTCCTCTGTAATTAAAAAGAGGAGGAGGGTCTTTAATGGTCCGGTGCTGGGAACTGATTTAGGGACATGGGGAAACTCAAATAAACACCATCAAACTCTGCAAAGTGTTGCTGGCACTAGTTCATAGAAAATTAAATGCTCCCTGCATACACACTACTAGCTTTTGGACATATGTGTGTGTGTGTGTGTGTGTGTGTGTGTAAAAGCCTGTAGCTGGTCTGCATGGGCTGGTCCAGAAGTGTCCCTCCTCCTCCTCCAGACATTTTTTGAAGGTGGAAAAAAAGCACCACCACAAATACATCTGACCTCATTGTTTGGACTCGCCTGAAGTAATGCTGCACCCTAAACACCACCTCCTGCCCCCCGACGGACCCAGACTCATCACCTCTCTGTTTATGTACTGATGCAACTGACAATGACAGCCCACTAATTACTGCTTTGCAAGGTAATGTTATTACAGCTCTGATTTGACACTTCTGTGGGCCGTTTTCACTTAGTCCTGGTAAACACTGCAGCATTACCGGCTGTATTTTGGCTGCACCAGGGAGACTGTAAGCTACAATCTGCAGGATAGTTGTTCAAATGGCCAATCAAAGTGGCCACTTAGAGTCTATGTGAGACATTGGGGGATATAATTTAAATTGTTCCTGCAGAATAATGGTTTCCTAGAGCAGCCGGGGGATGGTACATCAATATATAAGTCAAAGTTTGTAAAACAATTTTACTGTAACTTCTCAGGATACATCATAACGTGTAACATCACTTCTCCTAACAACACAAGTTCACTTTTATCCCATCTTTCCAATGACCTCTGGCTCAAAATCATATTTGTCTACATTTTCCATGACATTGGACACATTCCAGTTCTGTGTTTATCTTTCTCTTTAACATGAAAAAGAAATCAGCACAATAAGGAAAACAGAGCTTCGGATGCAACTTAAGACACAGCTCTGGCTTTGGGCACTTATGAAGTAATGGAGATAGAAAAAACAATAACACCACAGGCATATGGAAATCATAAGGACCTGGGATTTGTGTATGTATAGATCATGTTCATTTCAGATTGAAGTCACATGGCGCTTCTTGGAAAGCGGGTTTGTAGTTTAACTTTTGCTCTAAATCTCATCTTTACCAAGCAGCAGGCACAGAGCAGGGGTCGTACTTTAGCCTGAGAGGAGAGAGGCACTCCCTTCATGATCCAGAGCAGAGAAACAACAGCCTATAGCGAGAGTAGACGTTGTGACAAACCTATACTGCCATTTACTGAGTCATCATTCATGTCACAGCTGCCTGTGGATTTACTTGTTCCCCAACAGGTCAACTATTATTTCTACATAACCAGTGAGCTGTGAGTACATAGAGCAGATGTGTGACTCTGGTTGGTGAGCAGCAGCACATGTTGGGTGGAGTTTATATGTAGTCTGAGAACAAAGGATGTTACTGCCCACTGAAACAGCACTTTCTTTAGAAACGTGATTTAAAAAGCCAAACAACAAAATTACCAAATTCCAGCAAATTGCCAGCATGCCACTGAGACGCTCCAACATTTACCGCTAGAGGGTCTGTGGGTTTGATTGAGTGGTTTAAGAGAAAGACAAACAATCTGAAGCAGGACAACACGGATCGGTCTTTTGTTGGGGATATTCCTGATTTTTCCTCTGTTGTTTCCACGGGTCTTTTGTCAACAGTGAGCCCTCAAAATGTCTTGTTCTATAGACAATAGGTTAAGTGGACAGGCAAGTATACAACTGCCCTGCAACACCCTCTGTCTCTCTTTCGATGACACACAAATCACTACAACATGCTTGTTGACAAACTGTGGTCAACATCGTCTAAGGCAAGCTTCATTTGTTTCTCTCACCTCACAACCATGAATTCTACTTTCAGTCCTCTCTTACCTGCAGGTCCTGAAGATCCCTTCGATCCAGGGGCTCCGTATGGGCCCCTTGTCCCAGCCTCCCCCCGAGGCCCACTGGGACCTGGCAGCCCTCGAGACCCTAGCTTCCCTAAGAGGAGGAAACAGTCATGAGTAATCACGAAGCCTTAACTTGTTTTCATCTTAAATGGTTTTACATGGGCTGAAAGCAACGAAGTTACCTTCTCTGCCAGGAAGCCCATCTCTCCCATTTGAACCCTGAGGACCTGTAATGAAAACAGAGATGAGAGGTGTAGCTCTGTGAAAAAACACCTGGGGAAGAGGTTGTGTAAAATCCAAATGAGGGATGGGGTGAAACTCTCTAAATTCTGTCTAAGTTATAGAGCAAAAATGTGGAAAAAAACCTGTACAAAGTCCTTTCTGTCTCCAGAGGGAGCTGGGGGATGTCTGACAAAATTACCTCAAGTGATGTCACTTGAGTCGAGAAATCTGAAGGTGTGGAGGTAGAAGAGTAAAGTAGAGTTTACCAGACCTCTGTAGCCAGATCCGCATCTCAGCTTAAGGCTCACAGCTCGAGCTAAATTAGCCACTACTAGCATTTCACAACCGACGGTATTGTCGGTGGTCAAGATGCATTGTGGGTAATGTAGGTGCTAGGTTTTGACAAAGTCTAAAACTGTTCTATAGATGGTAGTGAATAGCATACATTTCCACGGGGATTAAAGAATTCTGCTATCGGAGTAATTTGAAATGTTCTATAATCACATGAATTGCCTTTACATAGTGGCTACAACTTGGTATAACTTCTGGTTAAAACACATTTTAATATCACTTTTTAAAGTTAGTGAACGTTAGTGAACTCTCACAGTGCTGCGCTCGACTCCAGGAGAGGAGAGAGAGATTTCCGTGCTCTGAAGTTAAAGGAAATGAGTGCGGTGGAGGAAATAGGATCTGAGCAGAGGTGAGCAGGTAGAGGGCAGAACAAAGAGTTGCTGCTCGCTGAGAAAAGCTGAGAGCTGAGAGTGATTTCTGACTCAATTATCAAAACACGAAACCCTAGACTCCACCAGACAGAAATATGCTGTATTTTCATTGTTAACTTAAAACATATTCATGCATCACAGCATGATAAACCTACCTGCAGGTCCCTGCTCACCAGGAGCTCCCTGAGCGGGCACAGCCCCCATCAGTAATGAGGCCTCTGGTGCAGTTGCTCCTTTACCCTGAAGGTTGCGATGTGATATGGATGCCGGGGCAGTGTATAACTGGACCTGGTTCAGGAAGACATAAAACAAGTGTGGGCAATATGCTTAATCAACATATCATATCTCAGTGATTCAGATACTGTGGCTGGTTGAGTATGTCCAAACCTTCGCCTCCAGTGAGCTCAGCCTGTCGGTCAAAGCTGTGATTCGACTGCAGTTGAGACAATCTAAAAAACAAAAAAGTTTTCTTTACCACCAGGAATCAGACACTTTGACATGTAGCATAGCTTTTGCTATTTTGTAGTATAGTCAAAGTAGTAAGATGTTCTCACTGGAGAGTGACTCTCCTGTGCGTGCAGGCGGGCGGCGTAGCGTGGATGGTTTCCTGACGGCCTCTTGAGCTGCAAGCTGGTTCCTTTCATCTGTAACAGAAGATGAAGACACAGAAAAATGTCACCTCTGTGGCTCGGATCTGAATTTATAGCGATTTATTGACCTTGAAAGCATAATCTTCAGATTTGGCGGTTTCTACTTTTAGTCATAGTGGCAGCTATGGCAATTGCAAGTTGTAAAGCGCTTTGTCCATTGAGGTTGAAAAGCGCGGTATAAGTGCAGTCCATCACCCATCATACCGGCGATCAAATGGTGGATATCACAATTCCTAATTCACACTAAGATCTATTTATTTGTTTGAGGGCCCGATACCTGTCTGTCCACCAAATCAAATGAAAATCAGTTCAAATGGTTTTTGCAACACACTGCTGACATTAGTCGATTATTCAAATCCTTCTTTAACCAAAAACACCTTCGTTTCTCTGGTTTCAGCTTCTCAAATGCGGGGCTTTGCCGCTTTTCTCTATTTTATGTCATTGAAAATCTTTGGGTTTTGGACTGTGGGTCGGACAAAACCAGACATTTGAAGACGTTATTTCGGGTTCTGGGAAATTACAATGGGCATTTTTCACTATTTTCAGAGCTGACAGACAGACAAACATGGGTGAAACGCGAAGCAAATACAATAGAAATGTCAGTAATATTGGAAGATTCTGCAATTCTTTTGTCAAGTGCCAATGCAGGAAGTAGTATTTCCCTCATGGTTACCATAGTCATCGGGTGTGTCTGCTCCTTTATTTGACAGATGATAGTTGAGAAATGGGAGAGAGAGAGAGAGGGCGCTCCACAGACATGAAATGAATGCTTGTTGTTTTACTTGCACCGTAACTCTCTCTTTCTTTAACCAAGCGTTTTAGTTGCTTAACCTTAACCACACTGTCGATGCCATGTGCTGAAATTGTAGGAAATAAACAGATCGGTTGATTTTTTGGGGGGCCACAGGTGCCATGTGGAGGGCAGTAATAGTCAACTGATCCATCTTCCTGTGCTGTGGGTAGTGTGAGGACGTTTCACTGAGGATGATACCAGAAATCAACTCGCTTCAGTCCGTGGGTTTCTATCCTCCAGGTGAGCCTCTCAATATTAGAACGCCAGAGAGAGACGACAATAAGAATACAATACGTTAAGAGTTGTGGACGAGACAGAAATGGAAATCACCAGACAGTTGCTACTTTTGTTATTGTTACATTTCCAGGAGACAAACATCTTTGCCAAGCTGCTTTCCGTTGGCCTTGTTTCTTTGGAGTATACAATCGTTAAGCCTTTCAGAGAGGGAGTGTAAGGACAAACAATAGTTTCCTTGTGCAGAGAGAATGGGCAGTCTCGGCTCGCATTCTGTCTTGCCTTCATTTTATGAAGTGTGGGAGTTTGTGTCCCTGGGTTCTGGATGTTTTGAATGGGCAGATTTTTTGGAAAAGCTAGACTGACTCCTTTGTCTGGCCTGGTCTGGCTCTGGTCGGCCCAGGTGCTCCTGATACAAACAAGAGGCTGGGTTCAGCACCTCATTAGCCGCCAGGAAGCACGTCTTTGCCATTCAGTGGCCAGCGGCCACGGTCGACGCCAAGTGCTATACTAAAAGAAGCCACGAAGCAGCACCTGCAGCACCAAGATGGAGCAGGAGAGCAATATTCTTCTTCTTCAACAGCCTCCCTTATTGGACCAATCAGGTGTTATGATCTATCTCTATCCAGAGGAAAGGGAAGTGGAGAGCTTATTGTCAAGAAGGAAAATAAACATTTGGGAACTTAAGAAAATATAACGGGTTTAGTGATTACCCAAAGAGGGGGGAGAGAGAGGGCAGAGGAGTATGAAAAGTACACAGAACACATGGTTTAAGGTAAAGTGAGACCGCTTCAATAATTCCCCCTCCTCAACCTCTGCACTCATGATTTCACTGTTTGGGGGTTCTGGGTATTTCTCACAGGATTACAAGTGTAGATGGATTTAAACCATGTAAGAGCTGAGACTGAAATGTTATGGCATGCGCTCTAGATTGTAGAAAACTGTCCTTCATATTAATAACAATGTACTTAGGGAACACACACGGATCTGCTCTTCACTCGTCTGCAGCGCACTTCAGTCCACATGGGGACGACTGCAGAGACAAAGAGAGGTAGATGCATTCCATTACAAAGAGGGCTCTGGAGAGGAAATCTAGCTCTCACCCCTAAAGGCATCACTACTCCCTTTAGAGTAAAGCACGTTCCCCTCACCCACACTCCTGCTATTGTGTGAAGCATGAACCCAGCTTTGGCACAGGCACAGTGGTCTCCCACACACACCTCTTACACACTCTCTCTCTGTCTGTCTTGCAATAACATTTGAAATCCTGCAAGATCCCTCTTTTCCTCTGCATCTCTCATGAGAGTCTGTTAACTCGGCTGTGTGTGTGTGTGTGTGTGTGTGCAGGCTGTGTTCAAGGCCTGGAGAAAGAGGATGAAACTTGGACAACAATACCATCATTACAGTTAATGAATGCCCCCCCCCGATCGACGCGGTTCATTGTATCCGCTCTTTGTTCTCAGTGGGCTGATTGCCCTGGTGGGGGGGGCGGTCAAAGAGATGTGTGAATGTATTTGACCTTTTGCCCCCATGTTGCTCTCGTCCCTTCATCAGAGGCTGAGTCAGAGCTCTGCACTAGAGAAATACACCCGCAGAGAGTTCAGCAGGCCAGAGGCCGTCCTGACATCAGCTCTGTCTCTCTCGCACACACACACACACACACACACAGTTTAGTCATTTGTTTACTAACACTCTTTGAATAATCTTTCTCCCTGCTGGCGCAATAATCTCATAGGGAGAGGAGAAAGATATGAGCGAAGGTCACATTACTTAATGACATTTAATAATTTGTGTATTCAGGCGTTTATGCCATGAATATTCATGCTCAAGTACATGATAATATGCACTTCATGTTGTGCATGAAGGTATTTTGTAGCAGCAGGACTCCGGCAGTGACGTGAAGCCTCTAAAAAGCAAATCAGATTCCGCACAGAACACTTATCTAGACTGAATTGATCTAAATCAAAGTCTATCATGGAGCTCTGAAGCCATCCAAAAGCCAAAGTGAGCTCTTACAACACACAGTCTTTCTATGCATGTAGTTGGGGGCTAAGGTTACAAAGGCCGATGAAATCATCCGTTGAAATCTGAGCAATATTTCTGCCACACACGTCGCCCCCTGGGCCTCGGATCAAACCCGGACGCGAGTTTCTCTGCTGGGTTTCCTCAGCTTCACTTCACTCGCTGCTGCAATAAATAAACCGACCACTAGTTTAAGTTTGTTTAAATTAAATACGCTTTCTGTTCAGATTTGTATCTTCTATCCAAACATCATTCAGATACAGCTGAGAGAAACTGCTTGTGATTATATTTTAATTTCCTCGCTCACATTACATATATATTTTGAGGCATGACAATGCAGACAGAAAGCGGTGAATGATAGCTCGCCTTGGTAACAAACTGTGTTTGTAATTCACCACCAGAGACACGTTGATCCCAAGTGTGAGAAGGGCCGAGAGGGGAACGTTTTCCACTTGGATTCAACAAAAGCATTACCAACCTGCTCTCTTACTATTATACCATTATATTATCATTATGGGAGATTTATTCCACAGTTGTTACAATTGGCCCTTTAAGACCCACTTGGAGCTTCGGTGGTGCCACCAGGGTGAGAGCCAAGGGAACGGTGACCAGGACTGCAGCTGCACCTCTCGCTCTACAAACTGAGGTGTGTGCGCATGTGCTCTTGTGTATGGCTGTGTATGTGTGTGTGTGAGAGAAAAAAGTGCAAGGGTGACAAACACACACACACACACACACACACACACACTCACACACACACACACACACACACACAGGCTGTATTATTAATGGGCCAAGGTCATTCCTTCAGTGATACTTTCCCAGTGAAAATAAACCAGCGCTCTCATGCTAAGAGTCCAGTCAGCCCTGCCAACCAGAACCCTTAAACACACATCTCACACTCAGCTGAACCGAGGTTTATTTATCTTCTGCAGAAATAATCAGCAGCTTGCACACAGACAGGCCTTTAGGAGCTTCATAAATGTACGAGTGAGACTTTGGTTGTCCTCTCATATTGTCCGCAGCAGATGGTGGACAAATGTATAATATCACAGTGTGGCTGTACTGTTTTCTTTAGTCTATCTGAGTTTCTCAAATCTCAAAGTTTGAAGTTCCTGTAGGGAGCTGCAGTACAGGGGCCTGGCAGCAGCTGTGAACACAAACACACAAACACACACACACAGCAAGCAGACACAGCAGAGTACGAGATCCTGATCCATCTCTGTCTGGTCAATTAGCTGAGCTCAGCGCTGCAGCATCATTAGTGACCAGATGCTGACAGCCAACCAGGGAAGGCATTTGTCTCTTTTTCTGCACTGTCTCAGACAGACTGAAGACTGCTGCTGCCTTTACATAAACACACACACACACACACACACACACACACACACACACACACACACACACACACACACACACACATGCGCTGAAAAGGAGGATTCTGAGAACATATGTTTGCTGAGCCAGGAATTTCTTTTGTCAATTTTTTAATGCAAAATAGACAAATAAAGGTGACTCATATGAAACCCAATTATTGTACATTTTAAAAGTTACTTTTGTACGTCGTATGTATGTATAAATATTGTATAAGGCAACTCAGAAATAGGTAGGAGACGAAAGACATTCTTTTTTTTTTGCAGACCTGTTACATTATGTTAAGTACTGACGTCAGGAGACTACAGTCTTTAGGGTAGTGGCTTTAATAAGTAAGACAATGAATGTGGGTTTTTTTTTGTGTTCAAAGTATTAGGCTGAGGCTACTAGAACCCAGGCGAGAATCATCAATTGTTATATCAGGCTGGCTGGTCAGATGTAGAAGAGCACAACATTCAGTTCATTCCACCTGCGTCAGCAGTTTTTCCACTGAGAGCAAAGTGCATCTCACACACTTGACCCTGATCCTGAGATCTTCTACTAAGGACGCGCACCAATACTGCCTCAATTA